AGGAAGAGAGAGAGAGAAACATCGACGTGAGAGAGACATGTCAACTGGTCGCCACCTGCACAACCCCACCCAGGGCCAGGGACAAGGACGAACCGCAACCGAGGTACGTGCCCTTAGTGGGAACTGAACCCGGGACTCTCTGGTCTGCGGGCTGATGCTCTAACCGCTGAGCCAAACCATCCAGGGCTGCTTTTCTTTCTTTTTTTAATCCTCACTGAGGATATTTTTCTATTTATCATCAAATAGAGTGGGAAAGAGAGAAACATCGACATGAGAGAGACACATCCATTGGTTGCCTCCTGCACTACCTGACCAGGGGTGGGGACCAAACAGCAACCTAGGTACATGCCCTTGACCAGAATCGAACCCGAGACTCATTGGTCCATGGGCCGATGCTCTAACTGCTGAGCCAAACCATTCCTGCTTTTCAAAAGGTTGTTTTTATCATTTTTAGCAAATCAATACATGCACAGGTGGAAGAACTCAGGTGCTCCTCCCGGGGTTCGGCACCCCCCCCTGCAGCCCCTGACCATGCCCCGTGGGCGTGGCCTGCACAATCCTGGCTTCTCACTTCTGCACCCACTTACACGGTTCTCCTGGGTTCTCGGGTTTACATGTTACACATCGACTTCCATTGTGGAAATTCAGGGGTCGCTTTTGCTCCCCACCCCATCCTCCCAGTACAGTTCCATCAAACTGTTGGCTTAATTCGAGTGGCATTTTCCTCAGTGTACCCAGCTAGTGTGCTAAGAACTGTTGGTTTAGTCACTATTGGGTTTTCCTCCATGTAACTGTCGCTTCAGCTACTGTTGCGTTTTCCTCTGTGTAACTGTCACTTTAGCTACTGCTACGCTTTATACAGTGTAGCTGGGCGGCAGTCAGGTGTTTATTGGCCTTTTCCCCACCGGTGCTGTGGCTTCTCCTCCCCGGAGGCACGAGCCTTCTCTGTGCTCGGTTAGGTCTCCGTGTTCCTGCAGTGCCGCACCCCACCCTTTGCCCAGAGCGAGCGTCCGCCACTCACACCTTCACTGAAAGGCCTTCCTCTGGAGTTCAGGCCTCACCAGCACCCTGACCAGGGTGGGCACCCGACCCTGGGACTGTCTTCCCCTCGAGTCCGCTCTCCCCTGACCCTGGAGCTTTGCTTTCCCCGTCTGCCCCTTTGTTTTACTGGAGAACACCTTCCAGTCGTTTCCTGGGAGATGGGACCAGAAAGGTAAATTTAAAAAAAAAATCTTCGTGCTCATAAAGTATCTCCCCCACTCACACCAGGCGCAGGTGGTTTCATCGCAGGGCATTCTGGGCTGCACGCTGCCCTCGGAACTTACCTGATTTTCTAGCTTCGAGTGTTGCTGCTCAGAAGTTGACACTCTTCTGACTCCTAGTCCTCCGTGCTCGATGCTCCCCGGACGGCGTGGCTCCGTGTGCACAGCACGTGGCTGTGTCAGCGGTGGGCTTCGAGGGGCCATCTCCATCCCTGCAGGGTGTCCTGGACGGTCACAGAAGTCGCGTTCTAGGTCTGGGCTGTCACGAGGCCAGCAGGGGTTTGTCCTGGGGAGACAGCGGCCCACATCCAGAGCAGCTGCTGGCGCACAGGCCAACCTCGAGGAGCCGCCTCTCGTGACCTAAATCGGAAATTTGATTTCGGGGTCATTTTCCGTAAAAGGAGGATCGGGCCCGGCCGGGGTGGCTCAGTGGATTGAGCGTGGTCCCATGGACTGAGAGGTCCCGGTTTGATTCCCAGTCAGGGCACATGCCTGGGTCGCCGGCTCGATCCCCAGTAGGGGGCGTGCAGGAGGCAGCCAGATGTTTCTCACATCGACATTTCTAGCTCTCTGTTTTCTTCTCTAAAAACATCAATAAAAACATTTTTAAAAGGGTGGAGAGCCCTGGCCGGTTTGGCTCAGCGGTTAGAGTGTCGGCCTGCGGTCCGGAGAGACCCGGGTTCGGTTCCCGCTAAGGGCATGTACCTCGGTTGCAGTTTGTCCCCGGCCCTGGTTGGTCGTGCGGTGGCAGCCACTTGATGTGTCCCTTTCACATCGATGTTTCTCTCTCTCTATCTCTCCCTCTCTCTCCCTCCCACTCTGTCTGTACAAAAAAATGGAAAAATGTCCTTGGGTGAGGATAAAAAATAAAAAATAAAATAAAAAAATAAAAGAGTGGAGAGATTGATGACTGCCAGTCTAACGTGCATGTTCACCTTCATGTCCCTCTTTAATCTGAGTCACATGACATCCAGTACTGTACTGTACCCCGAATTCAGACTTCCCACACGCCTGGCTGTTGGGGAGCCCCCTGAGGTAAGTGGTTCTTACCTTAAGCTTGGGACCCCAGGAGGGCCCAGCATGTCTTCTCTCCTGTCCCCTCAAGGGACATGTGTGTGTTTATACTTCAAGAACTTTTTTTAAGTCTTGCTAATTATCGAGGAGTTTTCCAGCAGAGCAGAGTAAAACTCTCAGGTTGGACACTGACTGTCGGGTGTCCCCTGAACCTGGGCCCAGCTCTGAATCAAGCACTGACAGCCCTCAGACACCGCCTGTGCGGGGTGTGGCCTGCAGAGGCCCGCCCTTGGGGGCGCTGAACGGGGTTGATGGAGGGTAGCTGCTTTGACGCTAGAAAGGCTGTGTGTACAAAGGCACAGTCCCCAGGACAGCCCAGCTGTGCCCTGTCCCCTCTGACGCGTCACCAGAGAGGGTGTGCCTGCAGCTCTGTGAAGAGGGCCCAGGCTGCCCTGCCTCTGTCCGGGGTGAGCCAGCCCCCTGGCCAGTGCTTCTGTCGGAGCCCGTTCTATGGGGAGGACGACCTTCTCTCTGCCTTTTGCCTTCTGAGGTGGGCGTACATTTTCTTCCATCTTTGACAAAATAGCGGCTAGAGATGAGCGGCGGGCTCAGGAGTCCCTGTGTCCTCTGTGCTGGTGAGGGGCCTGTCAGTCTCACCGGCTGAGCCTGCCTGCCACCCGGCCGAATGTGAGTCCATCCCCAGGAGGGTGGTGTGTTTCTGGGGTCAGTCCTCAGCCCTGTCGCAGAGCAAGGCCTGGTGCTCAGGTCCAGGAGGGCGTTGGCTGCGTTCGGCCGGGAGCGGCGGAGGGGCCTGCAGCGCCTCGCGGTCTTCAGGGAGCACCCCGTCAGGCTGCGTGCCCACGACCAGCTGCGTGCCCACGACCAGCTGCGTGCCCACGACCAGCTGCGTGCCCTGCCAGTGCACGTGGCTCCCTAGCTGACGCACTGGGCAAGCCTGACTGACCGAGTCTCTAGGAAGATCCTTTCTGTCCCCTCCCACCTTAACCTTACTATATGTGTGGGTTCTGTATGTTTGGCTCAGAATTAAACTCAGGAAAGGCTGCCTGTGTTGCTTCCGACCTGACAAGCCCCTGCACGGTCACTGGGTAGTGTTGCTGGACTCAGCACACACCTGTCCGCGTGTTTGGGGACTCAGCACGCACCCGTCCGCGTGTTTGGGGACTCAGCACGCACCCGTCCGCGTGTTTGGGGACTCAGCACGCACCCGTCCGCGTGTTTGGGGACTCAGCACGCACCCGTCCGCGTGTTTGGGGACTCAGCACGCACCCGTCCGCGTGTTTGGGGACTCGGCACGCACCCGTCCGCGTGTTTGGGGACTCGGCACGCACCCGTCCGCGTGTTTGGGGACTCGGCACGCACCCGTCCGCGTGTTTGGGGACTCGGCACGCACCCGTCCGCGTGTTTGGGGACTCGGCACGCACCCGTCCGCGTGTTTGGGGACTCGGCACGCACCCGTCCGCGTGTTTGGGGACTCGGCACACACCTGTCCGCGTGTTTGGGGATCCAGTGCCCAGGACTTCCCCAGCGACGGTCCTTAGCCGATTTGCCTCTCAGGGCGGGTTCTCGGAGGAGGTGTTCCAGCCGGGTTCTCGGAGGAGGTGTTCCAGCCGCAGCTGAACGCATCGTTCGTATCCTCCCGCGCTGGCGCTGTTCTCGTCACAGGATGTCATCCTCGTTCACCTTCTCCCTCAGTAGCGACTTCTCGAGCCCCCTCCCCCCGGGTCTGTCCGACAGCCGCCTCCTGGCCGAGGGAAGACACGGCGTACTGGGGTTGCCCTCCTGGGCCCATGAGAGGAGGAAGGTTCTGGAATGCGAGGGGCCAGGGAAGGGGGCGGGGTAACACTCGAGCTGCAGCTGTGGGGTTGAGGGCGTCTTGTTCTGTGGACATGTTGGGGGGATGTGCAGGCAGGGAGGGGACAGGTGTCCAGATGCCTTGTAGGCGCTCTTGCAGCGGGGCCTGGGAGGCTGGAGAAGGGGGGGTTCCACCGAGGCAGGGGACAGCGGGCTCTGGTTAGCTCCCAGCAAGGTGCTGTGTACTTGGGTGTGTTACTCAACTTGCGTTAGTTTTCTCTGAATATGTGTGATAGAATTACTTTTAGAATCAATATTTGGATGTGGTTTGACAAGCAACAGCCGTTGTGTTCCTGAGAGGAAATGGACCTAAGCCTGTGTCTGGGCAGCCGAGCCCAGCGGGCTGGATGGCGGCACCGGCCTGGTGCCCACAGCGCCCGCTGAGCCTGGGTCAGGTGGGAGCGGCCTCAGAGCAGGAGCTGGAGATGTTTCGGCCACGTATTTGTATTCGGCCACGTATTTGGTTGCAGTTTCCACCTTGGCTTTCGGCTGCAGCCCAGGAGGGTGAGCCAGCGTGGCGCATGGCTGCGGCCGGAGGGCTGCTCCGCCCCCCTGACCTCTCACCCAGCAGGCACAGGGCTTGACCTTTGCTGAGGGCGCCACCGTGTGGACCGCAGCCAGCCCTGCTGCCAGGCCCGTGGCTTCCTGGGCCACTTCTTGGTTGTGCACACTAAGTGGTCCTCTGGTTGCGCTGGCCTGTCCTTTATCAAGGGTTGGTACAGTGTCACGAAAACAGAGGACAGGAAAGTGTCCACTTCTCTGTCCCCATGTCATCCAGGGAGGTCCTGAAGTCCTCTTTCCTACACAGAGTCCTCAGGACCGTGAACTTGAGTGTGTCCTTTCTCTTCACAGTGTTCCCAACTCCTGCCCGGCCAGTCCACGTGGAGCCGGGTCCTCCGGCTACCGATTCGTCCAGAACGTGACTTCGGACCTGCAGCTGGCCGCGGAGTTCGCCGCGAAGGCCGCCTCGGAGCAGCAGGCAGACGCTTCTGGAGGAGACAGCCCCAAGGTGTCAGCCCTCACAGCCCAGCGGGCGGGGCAGGTTCGGCCCCTGTGGCCGGGGGCATTCCCGAGTCACGCTCCCCCCCCCCCCCAGTCCCTGCTGGCAGCACACGGACCGAGCTGCCTCCTGCCTCTTCTCCTCTCGCTCTGCTGTTGACCAAACGGTCTGGAGTTTGAATTGCAGTCTTTGAGAGGAATAACAGGTTTTTGCCTTACAACTTTGTGTCTTAGCTTATCCCATCTGATTATTTTTAAAATCAGTTTGCAGAGGAAGTGAGAAATTTTCAAACAAGTCATAATGAAATCCTCCTTTTCCTTCCTAGTCTGAAGCAGGCGCTTTGCTGGGGCCATGCAGGTCACTGGGTCTGGTCTGAGTAGACACACTGTCGAGGTCTTGTCTGCACTGGGAGGGGGCCCGTGGGGGCTGGACTGGGAGCACGCCCCGAGCTCACGCTGCCTGCTCACCCGCAGGACGAGTCGAAGCCGCCCTACTCGTACGCCCAGCTGATCGTGCAAGCCGTCTCCTCCGCGCAGGACAGGCAGCTGACGCTGAGCGGGATCTACGCCCACATCACCAAGCACTACCCCTACTACCGGACGGCTGACAAGGGCTGGCAGGTGAGGCTCGCCCAGGGGCCCCGCGCCGAGGCAGCTTCCTTGGAACAGAGGTTCTGTCAGCTAAGCGGGCGGGGGCACGGGCGTGTCATGCACCTGCAGTGTATCTAAAGTGAGCGCATCCCAGCGGCCCAGGACCTGCCTCAGGTCCAGACGTGCAAAGATCGCTGCGCCCCTCACTACACTGGTGCGCTCTGTGCGTCACGGCCACGTACTCACGGTCGTCCACGTGCATAGATCGCGGGCGTTTCTTTCTGTGGGCTCGTAAGACCTTTGCCCGCAGTGGGCGTGAGCAGCGCCCCACTCAGCTATGTCTCCATAGCTTCTTCCCCTTTTGCTGGCGGACTCGGTGCAGGTTTTGACCTGGGTGCACTTCCCGGCCGGGGCTCGTCTGCCTGGCTTTTTAATTTTTTTTTTTATCCTCACCTGAGGACATTTTTGCATTTATCTTCAGATAGAGCAGGAGGGTAAGAGGGAGGAAGAGAGAGAGAGAAACATCAATGTGAGAGAGACAGCCCTGGCCGGTTTGGCTCAGTGGCTAGAGCATTGGCCTACAGTCGTGAGAGACCCGGGTTTGGTTCCCGCTAAGGGCACGCACCTCGGTTGCAGTTTATCCCCAGCCCTGGTTGGGTCATGCAGGTGGCAACCACTTGATATGTCCCTTTCACATCGATGTTTCTCTCTCTTTCTCTTCCTCTCTCTCCCTCCACTCTAACTGAACAAAAAAATGGAAAAATGTCCTCGGGTGAAGAGTAAAAATAGAGACACATCTAGTGGTTGCCACCCACATGACCCCAACCAGGGCTGGGGACAAACTGTAACCAAGGTACGTGTCCTTAGCAGGAACCGAACCCAGGACTCTCTGGTCCATGGGCCGACGCTCTAACCGCTGGCCCAAACCAGCCAGGGCCTGACTTTCATGATAAAGGATGGTAGTGATGCTGACCTGAATTTCAGTAGGAAAAACTACTTGCACCTGTGTACTGCCCCATAAAACAATTACCTGGCCAGCCAGTGGGCGCTGCCGCTGGCATGATCCTACCCTGTCACCTTTGGTCCCGGTCATTGTGATCTGATCGGGTGTGGGGAGGGCTGGGCTTTGTTTTCTGATTTGCTAATGATTGGTGACTCACTCTGCTTGCCTGCAGAATTCTATTCGACACAACCTCTCCTTGAACCGTTACTTCATCAAAGTCCCGCGTTCCCAGGAGGAGCCTGGGAAGGGGTCTTTCTGGCGGATAGACCCAGCCTCAGAAGCCAAGCTCGTGGAGCAGGCCTTCCGGAAGCGGAGGCAGAGGGGCGTCTCCTGCTTCCGCACCCCCTTTGGGCCGCTGTCGTCCAGGTGAGCCCAGCGCCCCAGGTGGCCACGCTTGCACTAGTGTTTAGGCACCTTTACCTATTTTTGAGAGAGAGAAAGTCTCAGGACCAGTGAGATCCACAAGTGGGGAAGTCAGTAAGCTGTGGCTGCCCTGTGACGTGGCTGCTCCCAGAAGCCCAGCTGTGTGGGAGTGGCATCCTGGCGGAGGGCTGGGGACAGGGAGCACAGCGCCCCCTTCCCTGCTGGGTGGAGCGCTGCATCCGGAAGGGCAGCGGGGGCGGGGCTCAGGCAGCGGCCAAGCTGGTGTCTGGACAGGGCCTGTCTGCCTGAAGCCAGCCCAGCCCTCCTGCTCCCGGCTGGCGGCCAGCATGGGCCAGAGGGCAAGGCTGTGGGTGGGCAGGCCCAGCAGGCTCACCGCAGTCACGACCCGGGGGAGAAGGGCGGTGAGGAGATGGAGACGCCCACGGAAACCCTCCCAGGTGGGAGGAGCCTCAGCACAGGCTCCAGGGCAGGGTCTCGAGTTAGATGCAAGGCCGGAGAGACCGCTTCGGTGTCGAGCTCTTCCTGACCGGGTCTGTGGTGACGGCCCGTGTCCAGTCAGAGTAGACGCTGGGGCGAAGGTGATTGGTCAGTTGGTAAGGTAGGAGTTGAGAATGACAGGGCTGAGCCCAGATCTCCCAGAGCACCACGCGGCTCACGTGGCCGTGCAGACATCTCATCCCGCCGTCAGTTTGCCGGGCGCCGCAGGAAGGGCCGCAGGCTTGGCAGCTTAAACAACAGAAATGTATCTTTCACAGTCATGGAGCCGGAAGTCTGAGGTCGGGTGTGGGCTGGTGGGCTCTCTCCTGAGCGGTGGGAGGGTCTGCTCTGGCCTCGCCCGTCCCCAGGGCTGCGGGCAGCGTCTGGGGCCCAGGCCTTCCTCGCACGTCATGTTCTCTGCGTGTCTGTCTGCACTTCCCCTTTACGAGGGCCAGTCCCTGGCTTAGAGCCCACCTTGCTGGCCTCATCTAACTCGATCACCTCCCTAGAGACCCTTTGCAAAAACCCTGCCTCCAGAGAGGCCCCGAGGCGCTGGAGGTCAGGGCCCCAGCAGTCCGCGGACAGCTCAGTGCCCGACCGTCTTTCCCTTGTGGGTCAGCCCGTGACCGGCCAGGGGGAGTTCCCGGGGCCTCTCTGCCAACAGTGCCCGGGAAGCCCTGGGTGCAGGGTCCCTGCAGGTGGCCTGTCATCGAGGTCACCCTGGGAGCTGGGGACCCCCGATCTTGTGCAGCGGGCAGAACTCGCACAAGGAAAGCGGGGGCCCTCAGTCCAGGAGAAGAGGGTGCGCTTTGCTGTGGGCTGTGTCTCCGCTGTGCGTGTCGGGCAGCGATGGGATCAGCCGGGAGAGGAGCCAGGACCAAGAGGCCAGGCAGGAACTTGGACGGCCGAGGCCTTCACAGACGGGCCCGAGGGCCCCAGGCCCACAGAGGTGGCGACGCAGTGGGCCAGGCAAGGGGCAAGGGAGCGGGAGGTGTAGCGCCGATCACCTCAAAATGAAGGCTGCTCCCCCAGCTGCATTTGGGGGGCCCCCGCGCCCTGCCTCTGTGGGGTTGTGCTTATCTGTGCATGTGCAGGTGCACAGGGACCCAGTGTAGTGACAGCCCCTGTGGACAGGGCTGGCGGGAGCTGGAGGGTGCGCTGTCTGGGACCCAGGCACTGGGCGGCCGCTCCATGGAGGGTGCATTTTGCTCTCTCCATTGTAGGCTTGTCCTGGTGGGGTGTGTGCCCCTCCTGCCAAAGCTTATGTTGGCACAGCAGCGGAGCCACCGTCCTGGAGGCCGCGGGTCCCTTTGGGGCGTGAGTGCTTGGGGTCGTGGCTTTGTCTGGAGCCACAGACAGTGCAGTCCTCCCAGTGCTGGGCTTTCCACGCTGGGCGCTGCAGGCACGGAACCCGTGAGGACAGGCATCGGGGTGGGGCCTTGGCGTCTTGTGCTTTGTTAAGTAGCCTTTCGTGTCTCATCACATGTACTCACGACTGGTCCCTTGTCCCCCGATTTTAGGAGCGCTCCAGCTTCACCCACCCACCCTGGGCTGATGTCCCCTCGTTCTAGTGGCCTGCAGACTCCAGAGTGCCTGTCTCGGGAGGGCTCCCCCATTCCACATGACCCTGACTTTGGGTCAAAGTTAGCTTCGGTTCCAGAGTATCGGTATTCCCAGAGTGCACCCGGTAAGAGCGGGCAGAGCGGAATCGGGCCGGCGGGGCTGCCTGCCCAGGGTGCCCCTGACCCCGTGCCCCTGTCTGCAGGCTCTCCTGTCAGCGCCCAGCCCGTGATCATGGCCGTGCCTCCCCGGCCTCCCAGTCTAGTGGCCAAGCCCGTGGCCTACATGCCGGCGTCCATCGTGACGGCACAGCAGCCCTCGGGCCACGCCATCCACGTTGTGCAGCAGGCACCGCCTGTCACCATGCTCAGGGTGGTCACCTCCTCCGCCAGCTCCGCCAACGGGTACATCCTCGCCAGCCAGGCCGCAGCGGGGGCCGCCCACGAGGCAGCGGGCACAGCCGTGCTGGACCTGGGCAGCGAGGCAAGAGGTGAGGTGGCCGCGCGGTCACGCGGCTGGGTCTCCAGAGACAGAGCTCTCGCCACGGGCCGGGGTGTCGGGGCACAGCGCCCAGGTATTGGGGCACGGGCCGTCTCTGAGGCCGACGGCTCGCGGTCTTCTTTCTGCCCCTCCTCCCTGCTACTTGTTTTTAGGGGAATCGTTCCTTTGAAATCAGCACCAGTCATTCTCCGAGACCGGGTCTCCCTTGTGAACTATGGCTCCAAGTGCTCAGAGCCCCGTGGTCACACTGAGTTAGGTTGGGGACCACTTCACACTGGATCCAGAGGATGAGTCCTCTCAGCCCCCAGTGAAAAGTCCTTGAAAGTCGTTCAAAGTAAAAAATAGTTACAAAGTCCTCAACTAGAAGCCTGGGTCCCAGGTAGTTAGCAGGGTAGCTCCTGGCACCTGATGGGCCCTGGCAGGACCCCAGAGATTGCAGCGCCCCGCTTCCCTGCTGGATGTTCCCACATCAGAACGCAGACAGGCCGGACGGGAGTGCAGGCCGAGAGCGGACGGGGAGGGCGGGCAGGGGGCGGACGGGGCGGGCGGGCAGGGGGAGGGCGGGCAGGGGGCGGACGGGGCGGGCGGGCAGGGGCTGGACTTCTGACAGGTGCTGCAGGAACACAGACAGGCTCCGAGTGAAATCACTCAGATGATACACTTGTTTCTCATACTGCCTCTGGTTTGGTTCAAGTCTAAGATAGATTTTTATCTAAAACCCTATGAATCGTTTGTTATTTTTAAACTTATTTTCTCGGTTGGGCTCTTTCTTTTGAGAACCAGTGTTTTTCTCCTGATGTCAGTGCTTAAAAGCCACAGTGCACTGTGCCGCTGACGGTCTCCCGAGGCCGCCAGGGGCTCTGACGCCCTGTCCCCGCAGGCCTGGAGGAGAAACCCACCATTGCGTTCGCCACCATCCCAGCCGCCAGCCGTGTCATCCAGACTGTGGCCAGCCAGATGGCCCCAGGGGTGCCCGGACACACGGTCACCATCCTGCAGCCGGCCACTCCAGTGAGCATCGGGCAGCACCACCTCCCGGTGCGGGCCGTCACTCAGAACGGAAAGCACGCGGTCCCCACCAGTAGTTTGGCCGGCAGTGCTTACGGTGAGGCCCCCAAGCCCCGCACCTCCTCTTAGCTCGAGGTTCTCCATGGCCAGAGCACAGGAGAACATTTCTCCAGCTGATCTGGTCAGCCGGTCGGTCGGTCCACCAGTAGGGCAGCGCTGTGCCGGGCACACTGAGCAAAGTCCCCGTCACAGCTCACCTGCTGGGGAGCTGCAGGTCCAGGAGGGGCTGAGACAGCAGGTCGGAGGTGGCTCAGGAAGGTAACAGCCACCTGCCCGCCGTTAGGGACCCGCATGGAGAAGTGGGAGTAGAAGGGCCTCTGAGTAGACCAGGGAGGGGTGGCTCCTGGGAGTCCAGCCACGGAAAGAAAGGCCGACTGAGGTGGGAGCTGGCGAGTGGCCGGCACCCAGGAGCTGCTGGCAGCTCTGGCAGAGGTGCCAGGGCTGCCGGGAGCAGGCTCCTGTGTGGCCCCGGGGCTGTATTCAGAGCCATCGGCGCTGGTTCCATCGCTGGTCTTTCCTTCCCCGCCAGCCCTCACGAGCCCCCTGCAGCTGCTTGCGGCCCAGGCCAGCTCCTCGGCTCCAGTGGTCGTCACCCGGGTGTGTGAGGTGGGGGCTGAAGAGCCCGCAGCAGCGGCAGCCACCACCCCAGCCGCCGCCACCACCTCTGCCGCCTCCACCGGGGAGCCCGAAGTCAAACGGTCCCGGTTGGAGGAGCCCAGTGGGACTGTGACCACACAGGCCGGGGTGATCACGGCTGCCGGCCCCCAGGGGCCCGGGACTGGGGAGTGACGTCGCCGCGTGGAGGTGGAGTGGGGCGCACGCCAAAAGGAATTGTGGAGCTGGACCACGATGCCGACACACCCCGGGACCCTGACGAGAAGCCCACGCCGCCGCAGCAGGGTGCCGCAGGGACGGGCGGCCCGCCTGCCTGCTCCTGCACACTCGTCCTCCCTGCCGTCACCTCCTCCCTGCTGTGGTCGAAACAAACATAAACCTGTTCAGACAGCTGATTGTATGGCTCTGGGAATTCTTTGTGTTCCTCTCCCTGAGGCCAGCTGCCCCCCAGGCCTCTGTCAAGGGCGTGGGGCGGAGGCTGTGGCTCCATCCGAGTCCCGAGGCCAGCTGCCCCCCAGGCCTCTGTCAAGGGCATGGGGCGGAGGCTGTGGCTCCATCCGTGTCCTGAGGAATGGCCCCAGGCGCAGCCGCCGTGAGCAGGAGCCTTCGCCCCGGGACCGCACGGCAGGCCTCCGAGGGGAAGGACGAGCTGGGCTTCATTCCTGTTTGTAATGGATCAGAACCGGCGTGAGAAAGGCCAGAGCGGTCAGATTCCCGGCTGTTCGTGACGTCTTCTCCCTAAAGTAGTGACCCAGGAAGTATCAAATCGGCATTAAGTGGGGGGAGGGGAGGGGAGGGCAGGGGTCAGTTGCTTGGACCCCAAGTAGTTTTGTTTGGTTGCAACGTGGAATTCAGGCCTCATCACAAATCTGAGACACACACAAAGGGGTCGTCTGTTTTCGAGGTCTCCATCTAGACGGCGTGGCCACTGAGGGCTGCAGTTCCTACAGGCCGAGCGCCCAGCCTGCCAACCTCCAGGAACTCCACGGCCTCCCGGCGGGCGCTCGAGGCAGAAAGCCTACGGGTGACTTTGGAGCTAGGGCTGCAGTGCCCCACACTTGGCGCCCCGCACCTGCGCACGGGAGGGCGAGCCCTGCGTCCTCTGTGGCCCCGACACCGGCGGTTCCCACGGCACACCAGGCCCTGAGCACAGCCCCTCTGCTGCTTCACCAAGTCGTCCTCCCACCCACGGGCTGTCTTCTGTCTGACATCGGAACCAGGAGCTCTGGCTGGAGTCGGCCGCTGCCGGTGGTGCCTCCCCGCGCCCAGCTGGCCTCGTCTGCCGGCTCTCAGCCGGGGGCAGCATGCCCTGGGCAGGGCACTGGCCTCCTTGCGGGAGCTGTCACCGAGAAGGTGGTGAGTCTGCACTGTCTGGGTCACAGCCCGGAGGGTTCAGCTAGTCCTGCAGCTGCTCTAGGACATTCTCAGGAACGGGAAGTGTCTGAAAGTGTCTGCTGCTGTGGGCACACCTGGACACGGCCTGCACGGAGCCCCGGACGCCCCGCAGGAGCGGCTCCAGCATTAGTCTCCAGCAGGAGGCTGGTCACCGCGAGGGAGAGTGGCGTGGCCTGGCTGCTCCCGGTGGACAGGAGCGGGCTCAGGAGGAGGGGGACTGTGGGACAACTTCACGGCAGTGCGGACGAGACTAGCCACGTGCCAAGCACGACCTGCTAGGCCAGCCTGCCCGGTGGCCGCGTGGGGTGCCGAGCCCATCTCACTGCCACGTGTCTCCAGGCGCTGAAGGCACGTCCGCAGCGGCGTCGGGCCCTCCTCCTGCACTGTGTTCTCTGAGCCCCAAAGCAGCCGTTTCTGTGCGCGAACCTGAGTGGGAGCCAGGCGATCGCAGAGAACCGGGCAGAACAGGAACCTCGGTGTGCTGTCCCCCACGGGAGACGGAGATCACGCTCCAGCCACACTGACATCTCCTGTCCTCCTGCAGCTCTTTCTCTACCAGGCACCGGGGTGTGGGGGCGGGTGGGCGGGACGACAGTGATCTGGGCTGAGGCCCTGAGGCTCCAGAATAAGGGTCTCTGCTGCCGCTTTCCCTGCCTTCGCTACTGCTCACCCGGGGACACTTCGCCCCTGGCCAGCAGGGTACCACGGGCCTGCCTCCTCGGACACAGCATCTCGCCAGGGACACAGCAGCTGGCCACAGACTTGTCGGGCCTGTCTGATCTGACGGCTCAGCTCTGGCCTTTTGTTTTCATGACTTTTTGAGACGTTTCGGTTTTTCTGTCCGTTTTCAGTGACGATCCCACTGCACAGCCAGAAGTTGAGGGAGAAGGGAGTGGGGAGAGGTGGGCGAATAGAACCAGGTGGGAGACCAAACACCGGTCAGTGACGTTCTGCCCTGTGGAGAGCTGTGCCTTTTCGAAGAGACCCTGTGGGGCAGCGCAGGCGCCGGGCGGGCAGGGAGCGGAGGCCGAGGCCTCTGGGGAACTGCCACCGGCTTTACACCACTGCGTCCTGGGTGATTCAGGCCATCTGACCACGTGCGTGCCTGGCTCCCGCCAGCACGTGTCCTGGGACTGGTTAGCCAGAGGCCCAGGGATGGCCAGCACCCCAAGGGGGTGGCACCACAGCCCGGAAGATCGCCTGGTGCCCTCAGAGTCCGGCGACCTCTGACCTGCCACAAGCGTGGACCCCAGCCAAGGTTGGGGGAGCGAGAAGTCACTTCTGGCACAGTCCTGGTGTCATTGCAGCCTCGGCTCTGAGAGCCTTCTCGTTGGGCATGAGGGGCCTGAATCTGCAGGGAGAGGTGAGCGGCCGGAGCCCCCCCACTGTGCCACTGCCCCATCGGGTCCTGCCGACGAACTGGCACCAAGCGCAGAAAACACACTCTGCGTGGGAAGGAAGTCACAGAAATAACTCAGTTGAGCATTTCCCACCGAGACGATGTAGTGTAATGGAGGTGCCAGGGTGGTCCCCGAGAGTGCACCTGTCAGGACTGCGCCTTCTCCTGTGCCCACGTCACACAAAGCAGCAGGTATGGCTCCTGTCACTGTCACAAGCTCTGTGTGTCTCTTCAACACTGAAGCCGTCCCAGCAGCGCCTGACCCTGTGAGGGCAGAGTCTGCACCGCAGGGGGCGGGGCTCAGACCACCCGCCTGTGCCCGCGGCCATGGCACAGTGTCCCGCCTGGGGTCTGCTTAGCTTATGTTTGGGGTTTGCTGTTTGTTTTCTTTTTTCTCTGTTTAAGACTCAAGCCAAATGGGAAAAGGTGAAAATGAATTCCTGAGTCACTAAAAACGAGAGTTCAGTGATTCTCAGTTGGGAAGCAACGGGTTTACTGGTCCTTTTCTTTACCTCCCTGCCCTGGTGAAACAATGGTGTGGGGTCCTGGGTATTGTTCAGCTAATGCTGTTATTTCCTCTGTAAAAGGTCTCCATCCCCAGAGGGCGTGTGTGAGGCCCCTCTCTGTAGCAGAAACCCCTCCGTTGGTAATTCAGAGTCCAAGAGGAGGAGAAAGGTTTTCTTTGGTTTGCAGTTACTTTCTTACTTTATAGACTCAAAGAGCAAACCTCACTTAAAAATGAACACTCAGTTGAATGTAAGAATGTGTCGGAGAAGAAGGGATTTTCCCAGGACTTTTAGTGTGGAAATAAGTACAGTTGATGGAGGCAGATGACCTGTTTTTCTCCAAAAGTCTCAAATTCTGCTTTGCCCTTGAGTGATGTCAGGGGTGAAGGACTGTCACCGTCTCAGGGTTCATACCCACGTCCGGCCCCGACCCCCTGAGAACACAGCTCCCGGGGACGGGCTGCAGGGTGCCATGCACGCATGCGGCCCGACCCAACTGCGCACTACTCCTTGAATAAGTCACCAAAACGGACGTGAGGCCCTGCCAGGGAAGAGCCAGGGCCGGGCACAGTGCGGGCCCCCAGGGCTCCTGCCAGGCTCACAGCGAGGCATTCATTCCCTGCAGCCTCTGCTGCGATACCTCTGCCCGGAAGTCATACTATGTACTAAGTAATTTAAGTCACTCACACGTGCTGCTATGAAGACGGGCTGACCTGCAGACGGGACCGACACGCTTGGTGGCTCAGGCAGGGCAGGACGGCCACAGCCACGTCTCCTGCTCGGTCTCTGTCCGCTCGGTCCAGGTGGTTTCCTGTTTTACAGACCCTTCCAGTTAAGTTTCTGTCCCGAGGCCTCGTTCTGCATGTCAGGGTTTCTACGTGCTCGGGGCACGGCGCTCTCCCCGCGCTCGGCCCAGGGTCTGGCAGACACTTCTCCCTCCTTTCCTTTTCATACCAGAAGCTGCTACCTTCGGTGTCCGAGGAGGGCCCAGGCCGGCCCTGGCTGTGCGGGTGGTTTGGTTTGTGTGAGGCCCCGAGAGCCCCCGTCCCCTCCAGAACTGCTGCCCCCACTGTCCACCCTGTCACCCCCCGCCTTACAGCTACTTCAGAGTGGGGTTTGGGAGTACAACGCAGGCACTTCCTCAGGACCGAAGTAAGAAATAGGCCTGTGTAACTGGCAATTGAGAAAAAATGGTTTTGTTTTGAAGTTAAAAGGAAGAAAGGCCACTTGCTGAGCCGTCCCTACCCGTAGGCTTCGCAGGCCTGTTTGGGGGTGTCACTGCCAAGGGTCCTTTGTGGCCCAGCCTCAGGCCCCCTCTCCCCAGCTTGGCCACAGCTCAGCCTGCTGAGCAGGGTCCCTGAGCATACCCGGGGTGCTGCCCGGCGTGGGGCTGCGCTGGCTTCCCCAGGGGTGCTGAGGGTCCTGGGGTCACAAGGTGACAACAGGGACCAGTCAGAGGGATTTGCTTCTCTAAGGGTGATGCACTTCACCGTGCCACCCCACATCTAAGTGAGCGTCTACACCAGCTGCGGGGGGTCCAGGCGTTCGGACCACTGCCCTGCTTCGGCTGAGCAGCAGGCCCGGCCCTGGAGCGCTCGGCCTCGCAGGTGGACAGTCCGCACTCCGGGCTCACTGCTCTGCCTGCCACCGGGGACTGGCTCCGTCTGCATTTCTATGCAGGGCTGAAGGGAACGTTTTTTAATTCATGAGCCTTGGGGATACCCTAACGGCTGATTTTGGCTGCTGCTCGTTATTTAGAAGAGTTAAGGGGGCAGTCTCCGTTTCCAGACATCTTTCTCCCAGGGGAAACCCACTCAGAATCCCATTTACTTGCCCCCTGCTTGTCATTCTGGTAGCAACCGGGAAAGAGAAGAAACCTTCTGGGCCAGTGGGAGGCAGCAGACACGCTCCCTGACTTTGGTTGAGCAGGGGGTGCCACTGCACAGGCCTGCGGCCCCGGTGCCGTGCTCCAGGTTTTAGTCATCCATTCGCCTCCCAAGTGGCCAGAAAGTTACTGTCAGTCACCTCTGCCCCAGCCCAGTTGAGAGTCAGATGAGACTTGGAAGAGTTCCGGCACATTGCCCTTTACTCGGGGCCCTTCTGGAAGTTTGCTAATTGGACTCATGCAAATACTTATTGACAGTTTACTCTGTCAGAAATCATAGCAAGTGAATCGCAGAGGAGGCCAGGCCGAGGGACCTTGCAGATGAGATCTGCACGTGTCCTGCGTCACGTTTCTGCTGTTTCCATGTGCAGCAGGTTAAACAGTGCTTCTCCCAGCGCCCCTGCTCTCTGCGTTGTTCCCAGCCCTAGTGCACCGTGCCGGCCTGCCCGCCGAGCTGGATGGGTCTGACTGAGGGTGTTGTCCCGCACGCCCGAAGGGTATGACCTGAGCCTGCGGCCTCGAGCTCCGAGCCTCTCCCTTCCAGGCAAACTGGCCCTGATGCTTTTTAATCAGTAAAAATGGGATTTAAAATCAAACATTTTTCACTTGGCCCTCCTTCTGGTACACTTGGTTTACTCGGCTCAAGTTCTGTCGGGACGGGGCAGCGGGCAGAGTGCGGCTCAGATCGACTCAGCCCAGCCCGTGCAGACCCAGCAGGCCGTGCGTTTGAGGGAGGACTGGACCCAATACTGAGATTTTTTTTTTAATCTGACTGATAATTCTGTAAAGATAATTGGGGGGGTTGCTGTTAGGGCTGTGTGTATGTATGTGTGTGCGAACGTGTAATTTTTTTTACAGTGGCTGTCTAAAGTATTTTTTACAGTATGTTTAATAATCAGTGCTTTAAAAAGCAGTGGTATCCTTTAAAGTGGAGATTTGGTTCTAGAGCCCTGGGTGTGAAGCGGAGGCCACCCCGCAATGTTTCACCACCCGGCAGTATGGTCTGGGAGAGCCAGGAGGGCTTGCGACACCCCGCCAGGGTGGCGGGAAGCCAGCGCCACCGTCGGAGAGACAGAGAGACCCACAGTGGCTGGGCCAGCCTGCGTTTCCATTCCTAATGGGATACAGTATTTTTTAAATAAGGAGCCATACATTTTTTTTAAGTTTGAGATATGAATGTGATTTCTAATTGTATCAGACATTAATGTTTTAAAGCTATAACAAAGTTTAAAATTTCTACTTTTTGTTTTTCATTTATTTTAACTGTTCTTTTATCTATTAAATTGTTGTATGTGGATGGGGAAGTTTTGTTTCTCCTCTTAGCATTTGTTTCTATAACCAGAAATAAAATTATATATTAAAGAAATGACACTGGGGCTCGGTGTGGTCCTTGTGGGTGAGTGGCTGCTGAGGGACAGAGATGGTGCCTCTTGGGAGGAGCTCTCTGATGCCCACTGCTTAGCACGCGGCTGGTTTTCCACACAGATGCTGGATCCTCGCTCCCTTGGCCAGTCCCCTTCCTCTCCTGCAGCTGCTTGGCTCCAGGGGCACCGCCTCCTCATCCCCAGCACCAGTCACCCTCAACATTTCCACTTTGGCTCCGTAAGGGCATCTCAAAACCGGAGTCCTGAATTCCCGCAGATGAGCTCCTACCCTCCTTCCGAAGCCTCCCTGACCTCCTTCCACTGCACTGTCTGCTTTATCTTCCTGGCGTTGATCACTGTGGGGCTTATGGGTAGTCTGTATGTGTGACCACTGCCACTGCCGCCTGCCCAGTCCACGAGGGCAGGGACGTGGCCTCTCGGGTTCACTGTTCCCCAGGACCAAAAAGGCAGCCCAGCACAGCCTGGGGACTCAGCCATCGCTTGTTCATTGAATGAAGGACTCCACAAGCTTCCCGTCCCCTCCCGCCCCAATGCCAAGTGAAGGGCAGCCCCTGATAAACCCGAACCGGGTGCTGCCTTTGATGTCCCTTCCTCCTGCCATCTCCAGACCCATCCGTCACCCGGTGCTGCTGCCGCCACAGCCACAGCCTCCTGCTCTCGTGCCTTTGACGCACGTGCCTCGCCTAGGCCTTCCCCTCCCTCCCCTGGGCTCCCCGGAGGCCCTGCCGGGTGGTGGGGTAGCAGCATTGCTCACCCGGACTGTCGCGTCATCCCGTGTCCCCAGGCAGTCTGCAGGGTGGAAACACTGAATTACCAAACTGGCCTTCCCTCTCTGAGCCTGCTGCCCTGCCTGCAGAACAGAGGTACCGAGCGACAGCGCAGGCCGCCAAACCACAGGTGGCCCCAGTGCTCGGCGAAGCCTCGGGGAAACCTGCGGAGAGGCCAGCCACGCCCAGCCTCTGCGGGGCGCGGCCCCGCCCACCGCGCACGGCCCCGCCCACCGCGCACGGCGCGGCCCACGTGACCTCTTCAGGGCGTGCTGAGCGCACGACCCGCGACAGCGGCGCTGTGGTCCCAAGACCACCAGGAACCAGGACGCAGCGCCCAGGCGCCGGCGTCCACCGGGGGCCGCCCCGGGGTGGGGGCCGAGGTGCCGGGACGCTAAGGTTCCGGGGTCCCGAATCCGGAAGGCGCCCGGAAGCCAACCAGGACCCGCGGCCAGGGCGCCGAGGCCCCGCCCCCTGGAGCTCCGCCAAAGTCCATTGGTCGGGGGTCCGCCCGCCCTGCCCATGTGACGCGGCACGTGACCCCACCCGGAAGCCCGCCCCGCTTTTGGAGTCGCGACCGGCGGGGCGCCCGGGCCGCGGGTCCGGGAGGCGACGGCGCGATGTTCTCGGCGGGGGCGGAGAGGCTGCTCCACCAGGCCAGGTGCCCGCGCCTTCCCTCGGGGCGGGGCGGGGCGCGGCGACTCGAGGAGCCCGTCTGGCCCCGCGCTGGAGACTCGGGGGACGGGGAGGGTGGAGCTGGGCCCCGAAGGCGGTGGCACCCGGGCAGCGCCCCGGAGGAGGAGTGGCGACGCCGCGGGAGCGGGTCCCCGCTGACCGGCCCGGGGCTGGGGGTGAGCACCGGCGGAGCGGAGGCCGGACGCGGCCGGTCGCGGCGCTGTTGCTCCAGGGTCCAGAGCACAAAGCCCCAGCGAGGCCGCAGAGCCTGGTGGATGCGCCGCGGGGAGCTGTGCCCGGCCCAGGAGTTCGGGGCCCCGGGGCCTCGGGGCCGCGGTGGATGTTGTCATTGGAGAGATGGCTCTCCTGCGGGGTGCACTGGATGGGTGAGGCTGCCCACCGCCCCTGCCCGGAGCTGGCTCTGGGCTCCCTCCAACTAGTGGGTTGCCCCGTCCTCACCAGCTGACCAGCGATGGGGGAGAAGGGTGTAGGCCAGGACCAAAACCCCGCCTGGTGCTACTTGTTTAAAAGCAACATGCAGCCAGAACCGCAAGCCCACGGCAAAGTAAAGCGCTGGATTCTGCCCGCAGGTGTGGCTCAGTGGATTGAGCGTCCTCCCGTGGACTGAGGCCCAGTTCCCGTCAGGGCACTTGCCTGGGTTCCGGGCTCAATCCCCACTAGGGGGCGTGCAGGAGGCCGCCCGTAGACGTATTGCTCTCACATCGATGTTTCTCTCTCTCCCTTCCTCTCTTTGAGAAATCAATAAAAACATTTGTTAAAAATTGGATTCCGAGCTGGACAGTTGGTGGGAAAGATGAGGATGGTTGAGGCTGCTGTGATCCCAGCGAAGAGATAGATCTTGAATGCAGATGCGGTTCTAAAGGCTGTGACGAGGGCAAACGTCTTCTGGGGTCAAACAGCCCTTGAAAATCTACTGGAATATTTCGTGCGTTTGCAGCACCATCTCCCAGTCCATCCAACAGCCTGTCTTTCCTTCAGTGTTGGACAGATGTTCCAAAAGTCAAGTTCTAATATTCTAGTTCCAGTTCCAGTCTAATCCAAGTTCACTTGAATTTAGGGGCTTTATTAAATGGAAATAGATGTCTTTAAATAGTGGCATTTCACTCAACGTGCAACATACTCACCCCAAAGGTCTTGCAGACAGATATGTAAGGACTGAGACCCACTCAGATCTCCACTGGGTTTCCTCGCCCCACTCTGTCTTAGGTGGGGGGCTGGCTTGAGGGTAGTGTGTGCTTAGTATCCAGAAGTATAGTATATGAGTTACAGAGTTTCTCTCAGCTAGGATTTGGGGGAAATTAATAACTCAGGTCTTACTAGCTTTCACTATAGGTTTTACTTTGAGCCTGTGGGTTTGGGGAGCACTTAATACTGCTAAGGTTTGGGAGTTAGGATTTGGAGTGAATTTTAGTTTCCAAGTTTTTCAGAGATGGAAAGCAAGGGTGGAAAAAATTATCAGAAATAGCTCTCATAAGCTAAAGAAGAGGTGAAGAAAGTGGGACTCATGGGGAGCGCTAGAGGGCATGCAGCAAGGTCAAACCTGCAACCCAGGTACGTGCCCTTCCCAGGAATCAAACCCAGTACCCTCAACACTAACCATGGAGCCCACTGGCCAGGGCAAGTCCCCCTTACTATTGACTCCTAAACTCAATCGGTCTTAGTTCTACTCCCGGAAGAACAAAATCGGAATGTGTGGAGTCTCTGTTGTCATCGTAAATGGGGGTGGTAGTGTCTCTGACAGCCCTGTCCAGCAGGGGACAGGAGTAGCCCATGGATTGCTGAGCCCCAGGGAGAGAGGAACTCGATGGGCAGCCAGTCAGCTGATTTGCCATAAGAGACGTGTGGATGGTGGAATGGCTCTCCACCATGACACTCTCTGCTCAGTAGGGATTCTCCCTGCGTCCGTGGGTCGTTCCGTCACAGCTCAGGCAGCATTTCTAGGTCCCTCGACAAAGTCTGGATGCCAGGCTGCTGACAGCCCCCTCTTGGTTTAGGGAGATCCAGGACGAGGAGCTGAGGAAGTTCTGTTCCCGGGTCAGCACGCTGCTGCAGAAGGAGGACTTGGGGCCCGACACCGCAGATGCTCTGAGGAGGCTTTTCCTCATTGTCTCGGCCACAAAATACAACAGGAAGTAAGTGTGGTCATCTCTGGGCGTGCCTGGCAGGTGGCACATACCTTTCATGTTTGAGTCTGTGCACTTAAACCAGTGCTTAAGGGCTTCAAATGTAAAATTCTCTCCATCTGCCCAAGGGACCTGGGCCGATTCTCTGGGGTCCAGGGGAGCTCTGGGAGGCGGGTGCTCTCGCAGTGGTGTGACAGGCCACCCGGTCTGGCCGTCCCAGGCTGGAGAAGACGTGCGTGGATCTGCTGCAGACCACCCTCTGCCTGCCCGCCTGCCCCGAGCAGCTGCAGCTTCTCTGTGCGGCCATCCTGAGAGAGATGTCGCCCTGTGACAGCCTGAGCCTGTCCTGTGACCACATCCAGAGCACGCGGCAGCTGAGCCTGGTGGCCTCCGTGCTCCTGGCCCAGGTGAGGTGACTGTTGGCGCTCTGGTTGACCAGCCTGCCCCCGGCGTCCCTGGGGCCCCGGGAGAAGTAGTGGGCGGCGTGCAGTCCCCATGCGGGTGGGCTCAGCGTGGGTTCCCCTCCTTTCAGCAGTCTGTGGCTGCCTCAGGTGAGCCGGCACGTGGGTGCTTCTGGAAGGAGCAGAAAGGCCCGCCCGCCCTCTCCCCATCTTCCCTCCCCGAGTTCCTGGGGAAGCGGCCAGGGCGGCGCTCACGAGCCGTCATGCAGAACTGACGGCCCCCTTGCAGACGTCTTCAACAGACAGCTGGTTGCTCAGGCACTCGGGCAGGTCAGCCCTGCAGGCCCCACCTGTGTTTGATTCACAGGGCGACCGAAAGCAGGAGGTCAGACGCGTGGGCCAGCGTGTCTTCAAAGTCCTCGAGAGCCGACAGCCCGAGGGGCCCAGTCTGAGACCCCTCCTCCCGGTCGTGTCCAAGGTCGCCAGTCTCGCCCCAGGCACCTTCCATGAAGGTACCCCTTCCTGAGAGGCCGGGACCCCTGCCCAGGAATAGAGATGAGCCCGTGTGGGGAGGGAGGTGGGACGGGGTGGTCGTGTCTGCGTGGCTGTCAGGGAGGAGTGTGCGACTCTGTGGGAGCCGCTTGTTCTCCAGAAAGACCTAGCAGTGCCCCTGCAGCCTGAGTCGGGGTGGGGTCTGCCTAGTCCCACAGCGTTGTCCCCGCCCCTCTCTAGACCAGACCAACCTGCTCAGCAAGAGGCTGGTGGACTGGCTCCGCTATGCCAGCGTCCAGCGGGGGCTTGCCCATTCTTCTGGAGGCTTCTTCTCCACGCCCAGGGCCCGGCAGGTGAGGCGGGAGGGACCCACAGACCCCTCCATCCCTGGGCCACCTTGGCCAGCCTGCCGCAGGTCCCCATTGCCTCTTGCTGGCCTTCCACAGACCCTGGTTCCAGGTGGGGGAGAGGTTTACGTCACAGAGGGTCACAGCCCCCAGCCCAAGATGCTCTGAGCGTCTTGAGGCCTGGAACCTACTGATGGGAGTCACTCGTCTGACGGAGAGCCGTATTCTTAACCCGTGTTTATGCATCTTGCAAAGCCGAGGGTGGCTGAGCCTGGTGACCTTTCCAGTCCAGGCCCCCCACCCCCAGCGCCACCTGTCCTCTCTCGCCTCCCACAGCCAGTTCCGGTCACTGAGGTCGACGGGGCTGTGGCCACAGACTTCTTCACGGTGCTGTCCACGGGCCAGCGCTTCACGGAGGACCAGTGGCTGAACGTACAGGCCTTCTCTATGCTGCGGTCCTGGCTGCTGCTCAGCGGCCCCGAGAGCCCGGGTGCCCCGGACACAGGTGGGACCCGCATGCTCCTGAGGGACACCGGCCGCCTGAGCCGAGCCTCCTTGGCACCGCAGACGTGTCAGAAGCAGGGTGATCATTCAGGGCGGTCACACAGCCCTCTCCACTCAGCTCCTTGTCCTCTGCAAACTGAGCTGCTCAGCCTGGACCTCCTGAGGGTGTCCAGTGAGGGGCGGCCGCTGGGGGTGACACTGGGCACTGGGCCGTGCCTGGGGTGACTGCCATAGCAGCTCCCTGTGTGCTCGGGACCCTCACCCCTCTGAGTGCCTTCGTCCTTCCTCCAGATGACAAGTCAGAGGGCTCCACCCTGTCCGTGCTGTCGGCCGCCTCCTCCACCAGCCGCCTGCTGCCGCCCCAGGAGCGTCTTCGGGAGAAGGCCTTTGAGTACTGCCAGCGTCTCATCGAGCAGAGTGACCGGCGTGAGTCCAGGGGCTGCCCCTCCCGCGGGTCATGCGGTGCTCACGGGGCCGGAGGCCGCAGCTCCTCTCCCAGGATCCTTTGTTTCCAGGCATCAGCCCCGGGGAGCTCAGCCTGGACAGAACCCCTCCCCAGGCTCTCGGGGCTGCCTCCCCAGCTTCGCTTACACCTCCCCTGGGGACAGTGTCTGCCAAGCCTGTCCCACCCTCCGCTCCCAGTGGGTGGTCGTCGCCTACTCCCGTAGCTCCTAGGACGTGTGTGCCTCCTGTTTGGCTGCCCGGAGCTGGCACAGAGACCTGTCTCCTTTCTCCTCCCCACAGGAGCCCTGCGGAAGGGGGACTCGGACCTGCAGAAAGCTGTAAGTGCGGGGGGCCAGGGGCCAGGGGCAGTCGGGGGCTCTCCCCTGTCTGAACTCGGCCTTGGCCTCCCCGCAGTGCCTGGTGGAGGCGGTGCTGGTGCTGGACGTGCTCTGCCGGCAGGACCCCGCCCTCCTGTACCGCACCCTCTCCTGCCTGAAGGCCCTGCAGGTGCGGCTGTGTGCGGACCCCGCCTGCGTGCGGGCGCTGCTGCCCCTTGCCCAGTTCTTCCTGAACCACGGTGAGCCTAGAGGTCACGCACGGGCGCAGGGCTGCCCGGGGCTCGAGGGAGAAAGGACAGTCCCCAGCCCGGGCAGCTCCGGTCTTCAGGCACTGCCCTCCCGCGCCGCTCGATGGCGTCCTCCAGTGGGCGGTTAGCGTTGGACGGCAGCGGTTTCAGATGGATTCACAGAGCGAGTTAAAATGTCACTAACCGTACGTCACTCGGAACTTGCTTTGCATCGGAATTCATGAGCTTCCAAAGCACATTCCACCTGGTGCTCCTCAGGGGACGTCTGTGGCTGCAGCCACGTGGGAGGCTGGATGCGGTTCTGCTGGTGTGTCTTGTGCAGGGTCCCAGAGACCCTGAGGGGCCTGCCCGGCCACAGGGGCGTCCTCGCGACAGGCGGCGGAGGCTCCCCCGGCCCGCGCCCTGACGGACCTGTGCCCTCAGGGGAGGCAGCGGCCGTGGACTCGGAGGCCGTCCACCAGCACGTGTTCACCAGGGTGCCCGCCGAGCACTTCCACAGCCCGGTGCTGGCCTTCGAGCTGGTCCAGTTCTGCAGGGACAGCCTTCCTCTGCTCGGCAGAAACCTTGGCGTTCTCAGACTGAGCTTCCCCAACCTGTTCAAGGCACGCTCGCTCATCTGGGGCCAGAGTGGGACGGAAGGGGCGGGCTCTCCCTCCAGTGTGGGCCGGTAGCCTGGGGTGCAGGGCAGAGGGCGAGGCGTGGGGCGGCCCGGGTGTCCATACCCCTCAGATAGCTGTTCGCTGGCGGGAGAGCCTTGTGCTGGTCCCCTCGAGAAGGTCCAGAGTGTAGCGTCTGTCTGGCAGTCTGGCCTGCCCTTCAGTGCCATTGGTTTTTGATGTGTCTTCTGGGACCGGCAGTCACCGTGTAGCGTTTTCAAAACCTTTGGGACTTAGTCCTTTAATTGGAGAAGCAACGGTGACGCGTGGGGAGCAATTTAGTCGTCGGTGCAAAGTGAACACAGAGCCAGGAGAACAGTGAGAAACTGAAGGGAGTGTTGCAGACCCCGGGTCCCCGTGCAGACACCCTGCCCGACACAGCGCCCCGTGACGGCTGCTGCGGGCCCTGCCTGTCGCTGCAGCTCCTGGCCTGGAACAGCCCGCCCCTCACCTCCGAGTTCGTGGCGCTGCTCCCGGCGCTGGTGGACGCTGGCACGGCCGAGGAGATGCTGCACGCGCTGCTGGACCTGCCGTGCCTGACCGCGGCCTTGGACCTGCAGCTCAGGTGAGCCGCCCCTGCCGGAGCGGGGCCCCAGAGCCTCAGCCTGTCTTCCTTCAGCGGCGGGCCCGCACGCCCACCGCAGGCCCCTGCCCCTCCCTGCAGGTGCCGGGCCGCAGCCCCTTCTCATCACCCCAAAGCTCTTCAGGCCAGGGCGCTGAGATATCATGGTGCCCGTGGGCGCCCTTGAGGGCCCGGCTGCGTCCAGCCTGGTTGGCCTGCCCGGAGCCACGTGAGCCCGGCCTCAGACGTCTGTCCACTCACAGGTCGTCACCAGCTGTGTCCGAGAGGCCGCTCTGGGATGTCTCCCTCAGGATCCCCAGCTGCCTGGAGGCCTTCCGGGACCCGCAGTTGCAGGGTCTCTTCCAGCACCTGCTGCGCGCCGAGGCCAGGGGGACCGCGGAGAGGTAGGGCCCTCAGGCGGGGAGCCCGGGACAGCCTCTGGACAGGGCCCTGCGTCCTCTGACCTGGAGAGACCGCTGCCAGGGCCCCTCCACAGCAGGCACCGACCGCGGCACCTGGTGTGCGGCTCAGCCACGCGCGTCAGCCCTCGCAGCTCCGCGAGGTGGGCGCTGTCTCCGGGCCCGGTGGAGAAACCTGCTTGGCGCCCCTTGGAGAGGAGACTCAGGGCTGGAATGAGGCCTCCTCGCCCAGATGCCTCGCCTCAGCCCACCGCCTCCCTCACCCCATGGGGCGGGCATCTGAGGAGCTAGAGGCTGGTGACGAGAGGGCTTGGGAGCACACGAGATGCGGGTGACAGGGAGACCTCCTTTCCCGAGGCCGTGCGCGTGGTCCCGGAACCTGGTCCGTGGCGCTCAGACCCTCCTGCTCCCGCAGGCCCTGGCCTTGGGTTACATGGGTCCGTGTGTTCAGAGCGTGTCCGGGGCACCAGGCGGATGCGGGCGGGCGTCAGTGAGCCGGGCCCTGTGTCCCCAGGTTGGCGCCACTCCACCAGGTGCTGCAGCCCATGGCCAGCTGTGCCCGGGTGCTCCAGTGTGCCCAGGCAGTGCCCACCCTGCTGCAGGCGTTTTTCTCGGCAGTGACCCAGGTGAGCCCGCTGCCCAGGCCCCGTTGCCACAGCCTCATACCCCTCGGCCGAGGGCCAGTCTGGAGTGTAGGACTGTGGCCTTGACCATGGGAGAGCTGCCGCCGAGAGGCAGTGAGGGCGCCAGAGGAAAGCACTCCCTCCCCCCCCCGCCCTGTCCCTCTTGCCCAGCCCTCCCTCTCCCCAGGGTGGCCGCAGGGCAGCCAGGACCAGAGCAGGTGCAGCAGGAGCAGGTGCTCGGTGGTGGAGCTGAATCTGTCTCTCGACCCCAGTTTGCTGACAGGGCCCTGACCATCCGGCTGGCACGGCTGCTCCTGGAGAGGAGCGACTCGCTGTACCAGGTCCCGGGCTACGAGGCCCGCGTGCACAGGTGAGTCCCCGGCCCAGGCCTCGCCCCTCGGAGGGTCCCAGTGTGCGTCCCCCACTCCCCTGGCTGCTGCAGCCCCGGCCCAGCCTCGGTCCCGACAGCCTCCGTCCTACCCCGCGGTGTCCGGGCTTCCCCCCTTTCTGAAGGCCTGGTGTGCACACTGCACTCTGGGCACTGAGGACAGAGCTGTCCCGGCCTCCTCCCCAGCAGGGCGAGAGGCTCCGTCAGGGGCCGGAACTGTCTTCGTCAGCTGGACTGTCTCCGGACGCTTTCTGGCTCTCGTGGGTGGGCTGTGAGTCTGGGTCTTCGGGGACAGTCCCCAGCCTGCAGCACCCTCTCCGAGCAGGGTGCTGAGTTCCGAGTTCCTGGCCCTGTGCGAGCGGCACCCCTCTCTGGTGGCTGAGCTGGCGAAGGAGCTCCTGGCGTTCGTGGGCAGCGGGAGCGGCATGCGCAGCGGCGGGAACGTGCTCACCTCTGTGGTAAGGCCAGGCGCCCATCCTCCGCCAGACGCCGGACCCGCGTGGGCCTGGCAGGCGCTGAGGTGCTCTCCCACAGGTGTGGGCCATCGGCGAGTACGTGTCGGTGAGCTGGGACCGGCGGTGCACCGTGGACCAGATCAACAAGTTCTTCGAAGCCCTGGAGGCCCTCCTGTTCGAGGTCACCCATTCCCGCCCCTCGGCCACCCTTCCCAAGTGTCCCCCACAACTCATCACCGCGCTTATGACCACGCTGACCAAGCTGGCCTCCCGCAGCCAAGACCTGATCCCCAGGTACAGGTTTGGCAGGAAGAGGGGCCCTGATAGCTCCCGAGGGGAACAGAAAGTGGCTGTGGAGGCGTCCCAGTCCCAGCGGCCAGGACACAGCATGGTGCCCAGGGGTTCTGGCTGTGTACAGGCCGCGGGGTCTGTGGGCACTGCCACTCCTCCAAGCTGCAGCCACACTAGCTGGGCACCTTGGGTGTCTGAGCCCCTCCCGAGACCCCGGCCATGTGAGGGCTGCACCTGCAGCTGACTGGCTGGGACCCTTCGTCCCCAGGGTCTCTCTGTTCCTGTCAAAGATAAGGACCCTGGCCCAGAGCCCAGCCCTGGGCTCCCTGCACGGCCAGGAGGACGCAGGTGCCATCGGTACACGGGCCACCGAGCTGCTGAACCTGCTGAAGATGCCCAGCGTGGCTCAGTTTGTGCTCACACCCAGCATGGAAGTGTCCGAGTCCCGCTATCACCGCGACACCGTCACAGCCCTGCCGCTGGCCCTGCGCACGGTCAGCCGGCTGGTAGAGAAAGAGGCGGGCCTCCTGCCAGGGTGAGGGACAGCGGCCGGGTTGATGCCAGCTGGGGCCGCAGAGTAAGAGCCTGGTGCTAGGGCTGCACCAGGGCCTCAATGGTCGCGAAACCTGGAGGGGCCGAGGCCCAGGAGGAGTCCAGTGGATCCCAGCCCCTCGGGCTGGTCAAGGCTGTCAGGCTGACCCTGTGAGTGTTGTGTCTGAACCTTGTCTCTCGTCACCATGCCAAGCTGTGTTGTGAGACAGCCCTGCTTTGTGGCCCTAGGCCTTTTGGGACTGGATGGGAACTGCAAGAACAGGCTCAGACAAAATAAATGTCTTTTGGAAGTATCTGTGTGCACAGGGCAGGGCTGTTCCCTTCACTCCCCCCACCCCCTGGGGTAGGGCCAGGTACAGACCCCAGCAGACAGGGTCTGTGTGCACAGGGCAGGGCTGTTCCCTTCACTCCCCCCACCCGCCCCCCAGGGTAGGGCCAGGTACAGACCCCAGCACACAGCCCACAGCTGCTTCCTCCCCAGGACACTGTTCGATGCTTCTGGGAGAGTGGTCCCCAAGATTCAAGGGACCCTTGCCTGGCCGGGCAGGACACATGGGGCTGCTCCTTGCCGCTTAGTCCCCTCTGTACGAGGGTGGACATGGTTCCAGGAGTAACAGATCACAGGGAGGGAGGAAGCCTGTGACTCTCCCACAGGTGACAGCTGCCATGTGTGTGTGTGGGGGGCGGGGGGGTGCATTTGGTCAGTGTGCTTTTTTGTTAGTCCTCACCCAAGGATGTTTTTTGTGTTGATTTTCAGAAAGAGTGGGAGGGAGGGGGAGGGGAGGAGAGAGAAAAACATCAGTGTGAGAGACACATGGTCACCTCCCACACACACCCTGACCAAGGCTGGGGGTTGAACCCAGAACCCAGCTACGTGCCCTTCACTGGGACTCAAACCCACGACCTTTCAGTACAGGGGCCAGCGCTCTGACCATGGAGCCGCCGGCCAGGGCATCAGTGCACTGCTTCATTGCACCTTCTTACGCTCCCGCATACCAGAGACGTGCAGGCCAGGGCCCCGGGCTCTGCTCGGTGCGCTGCAGGTGCTGTGCCCTTCGCTGGCCTGCAGCCGTGTGGAGAGGGAGGGCAGGCCCACTGAGCAGACGGCTCCCACAGACCTGGCTCGCAGCGGCCCCAGTACTTGCCCTGGGAGCTCTGCTCAGAGTAAATCTGGTTGCTCCGGGATTATCCCCAGCGGGGAGACTCACTGAGTGCGGTGGGGCAAGAGCTGGGGTCCTCCAGCCCCAGCCTTTCTCGCCTCTCTTCAAGTCTCAGCCAAGCTTGTAGGTCAGCTCCAGGGCCACCAGGTGGTGCTGCTGCTCCGCGAGCCTCCTGCCTCGCCGCCTGGTCTGGCCCTGCCCCGCCTCCGCAGGCTCCACCCCCATGGCCCGGCCCCGCCCCTCAGGCCCCTGAGGAGGGAGGAGCAGGTGGGGCGGGGCTGGCAGAGCAGGGTGTGCCCCTCCAATCTACCTGGGCTCACCTCGGCCGGTTTCCCAGAAGCGAAGTGACCTCTGGTGGGCTAGGGCGTGTGCGCCAAGGACACTCTGACTCCCCGGACTGGTGACCCCACGCACCGCCCTCCCCAGACCACACCCCTCACCCTGTTCGGCGCGGGACTCACATCCAAGCACCCGGGTGGAGCATGGGCCCCCGGGGGGACATGGGGCCTTCATTCTGCCCCAGCTCACAGCTTTGGAGTGGTGGCTGTGCCCCTGGAGAGGAATGCAGGGAGGGATTGAACCCCTAATTCTGCCGGCCTCAGGCCAGTGTCTGAACTAGGGGGTGAGGGGCTGCAGCATTTCTAGTTTCTTGGGTTCAATCATTTTTTTGTAATCTTTACCCCGGATATTTTTCCATTTATCTTCGGGGCGGGGGGGGGCATCAACTTGAGACATGGATCAGTTGCCTCCTGCGCAACCCCGACCAAGACTGGGGACTGAACTGCAACCGAGGTCCGTGCCCTTGACCAGAATCAAACCCAAGACACTCTGGTCCGTGGGCCAATGCTCTTAACAGCTGAGCCAAACGCCAGGGACGTACTTTTTTTTTCTTCAGTATATTTTTATTGATCTTTTGGATAGAGGAAGGGCCAGAGAGAGAAACAGTGATCAGCTGCTCCCTGCACTCCCCCACGGGATCGAGCCCGCACAGGACATCAGTCCAGGACCTCTGGGTCCATGGGACTGAGCCACACCTGCTGGGCTCAGCCGTACATTTAAAGATTATCAAAGAACGTACATGCATGTATGTATAACCAGTGGACATAGACAACAATGCTGGGGGGGGGGGCATCTGTAGCAAAAATAAATTATTTAATAAAAATAAGTAAATAAAATGATTTAAGAAAACACATTGATCCAGCATTTGGGAGCTGGGCGGTGGGAGGCCATCAGGCAGGGGATCCTGGGACCTAACTGACCTCCAGCCACCTGTGCGCTTCTCCTGTGCCCACTGCGGGGCGCCTGGGACCCACCCAGGACACCCATGGGGGCTGGAGGCACCAGCTTGCCATGTGAGGGCTGCATCTGCAGCTGACTGGCGGGACCGGCACCCCCAGGGCTTCTGTTCCTGTCAAAGATGAGGACCCTGCCCCCCCAAGCCCAGCCTGGGTTCCCAGCACTGTGAGGCGGACCGGGCCACCAGCTGTGACCCTACCGAAGGCGCCCAGCCCAGAGGTAGGTGACAGAGCCCACTATCACCCCAACGCCAGCAGGGCCCGTGCAGGTGGAGGCGCTGGCCTCCTCCCAGGAAGGGGCAGTGGCTGGTGGGTGTAGATGAAGAGCCTCGTGTTAGGGCCGAGCCTCGGCTTCAGTGGGCTGAGGCCTGGGAGGAGGCCCAGGTCCCAGGGTGGGTTAAGACTCTCGCTTTATAACTTTCTCCTGGGGGTTCCAGACCCTTTCTTGGGGACCGCGGAGCGTGCGAGTACCCGGAGCACCTGCACGCTGACTGGAGCTGTACCCCCTGCTGGGGGCAGGCCGCCAGGGGGCCGGGCTCCACCGGGGCGGACACGGTCTGCCCTCACTAGGCCCTCCCAGCGCGTCTCCCGCGGGGCAGCGGCTGGGGCCCACGGCCCTCCCTCGCGGCAGCCCTGGGCCCGGGAGCCCAGCGCAGCACCCACTCCGACTCCACCCACGGCCACGCCAAGGATAGGAAAGATATTTATTGAATCTGTCTTCGTTAAAATCTTCCAAATAAAAGCTCTGTAACAAACATCACAACTTAGTGTTATCTGCCATATAAATAAAATATACACTAAGATGTACATTATCCACAGGGTGAGGGGCGGCGGCCAGTGCCCCGAGGGGACGGACCCCCAGGCCCCTAGGGAGGCGGCGAGCGGAAGCGGATTTTCTTGGCTGTTTCCACGTCAGACTTGGCGACCAGAAACCGCATCTTCTTGCCGCCATGTCGGATGAGGTCCACCGCCCTGAAACCAGTGACGGGGAGGGTGGCCGAGCTCCGGGAGGGTGGCGGGCCTCCCGGAGGTGCCCGGGGAGGGGTGGGCGGGGCCTCCCGGAGGTGCCCTGGGAGGGTGGGCGGGGCCTCCTGGAGGTGTCCAGGGAGGGTGGGCGGGGCCTCCTGGAGGTGCCCCGGGAGGGGACTCGAGCCTCTACCCCAAGGGGTCCCGTGCACTGGCTGTGAGGGCCTGGCAGCTGCCTACCCCCACTCTAAGAGGCTGGTGGCCGGTGGTTGGCAGGTGGAAGGAGGGGAGGGAAGGGTTGGGGGCACCCCCAGAGAGCTGGGCGGGGCTGTGCCTCCACTTCCTGGTCTCTGAGGTGGGAAAGGACGCACACAGCTTGGGCTCTGGGGATCAGGGTGAGAGTCGTCCTGCCGGGGGCCCTGGCCCTGGGGCACCCTGACAGCTTCACCACGCAGGCTGGGGTGTGGGGGGTACCTCAGGTAGCTGACGCCCATCAGGCTGCTGCCGTTCACCTCCAGGATGCGGTCTCCCAGCGACAGCCGGCCGTCAGCTGCTGCAGGGCTGCCTGGGAGCAGGGTCTGGATGTAGAGGCCGGGGGCCCCCAGGGGCGTGTGCTGCGGGGGATGCAGAGGCTCAGGGCTCCGTGGGCCCTGGCAGCAGGGTGGCCCAGACGCAGCCACCTCGGCCCACCAGGTCGCCAGTGTGTGTGCAGCCCAGCCCTGGGCCCCAACGCTGTTCTCAGGCCCAGGACACACCCCAAGGTCTGAGGACAGAGGCAGCGGCAGGCTGGGGGTAGCTCCGCACGGGCTCTTTCCCTCCCCTCACATTCCACAGAGATGCCCTGCGAGTCCCTGCCCCTCCGCACGCCAGGCGTCCCTGTAACCAGGAGCCCGGCCAGGGCCCACTCACCATCCCATCGATCAGGCCCATCCCCAGCCCAGAGGGGCCTCGCTCCAGCTCCACCAGGAAGACGTAGCAGGAGTCGTCTGCGTTGGAGCTGCGGTTGGAGGGGGCTGGAGGGGGCTCGTCCTCGGGGACCACACCGTCTCCTGGGGGACAAGGAGAGGGGCAGATGAGGGCAGATACGGGCCTGCGGCAGCCCGCAGCCGTCCCGAGTCCAGAGGAAGGGCGCTCACAGCTCCAGCGAGATGCCGGTGTGGGGAGACCCTGAACAGCAAGTCCTGGCCCTCCATGGGGTGATGGAGTTGGGGCCTGTGTGGGCGACACCCCGGTGTGCCTCGGAGGGGCACCTGGGTGCCCCCTGTGGCTGCCCCAGGATACCAGCCCCTCCCGTAGACCAGCTGTTTCCAGGGGGCTGGAAGGGGCTCTGCTGCTCACACCCAAGCCTCCCCTCCCCATCCACAGAACACTCCTGAACCCCCTTACCTCTCCTGTCACACCTCTAAGTGGTGACTCTGCTTCTGTCCCCCCAAGTGTCTCACCTGCTGATGGAAAGCTCTGGCCCCCAGCCCGGCACAAGGCCCCATGGAGCCTGCCCCCCGAGAGCTGGGGTTCTTCTCATCTCGGAAGCCCCCACTACCCACCCTGAGGGTCCTGTGCTTTCTCCAGGAGGTCAGTGTAGTGCCCACCCACTCCCACCCCCGGGGACCAGCCACGGGCACACAGCCCAGGTGGCCCTGCCCTCAGACACACTGAACAGCAAGGGGGGCAGACTCAATTCAGGACAGGGGCGGGGCTCCCTGGCCAGGCTGTTGGTAGCTGCCCAGCCCGGGCACCGCACACGCCCTGCCTCCCTGCCTCGGCCCCGCCCTCGTCCTCCCGACCCCTGACCTCTGACCCCTGGCCCCACGACAGAGGCTGAGGGGCCGTCCCTTCCGCTACCTGTGCAGAAGAGACTCCATCCCCCAGGAGGCTGCGTGTGGCCCGGCCACCGGCTGCCCTGAGCCTTCCTGTCTTGGGGCTGCGGGCTTTCAGGGGCAGGGACGGAGAGCCCAGGACGCACATGCCAACAAGACGCTAGGGGGGAATGACCCCAAGGGACCTGCCCAGGCGCCAGCAGGACCTGGAGTGGGGGTGCACGTGTGAACGGGGGAAAGGTCTCACCTTCTGGAGTCGCCCCCCGGGGGCCGCCTGGTCCGTTCCTCCTCCCTTCCAGGGGTGCTTTCCCACAGGGGCCGCCAGGGTTGGGCCAGTCAGGGCCGGTGGGTTCGAGTGGGGTGCCGGGAGGCGTGAGCAGGCAGGAGGAGCCTGTGTGCAGGGCTCCAGCCTGGGGGCCCCCACGGTTCCCTCGGCCCAGCTGTCTTCCTGGAGGGCCCTGTGCCTGGGGAGCCCCAGCCGAAGGAAGCAGGTGTGCCGAGCCAGCTTCACAGGCTCCCCTGCTGGGGTCCCTGGGAGCCAGGGGGCAGCTCTGGCCCTCGGGGTGCCCCTCGGGGGTGGGGTGGTGCAGGCCCTGCAGGAAAGAAAGAGCTCAGGCCAAGGGGCTCCCAGCTCTCCCTACCACTTCTTCCCCAGGGCCGGCAGCCGGGCCCTTCGTCCACCCCACTGTCGAAGCCCGAGCGTGGACCAGGCCGCTGGGCAGTACCTCATGCACCGGGGGCGGGGGGGGCCCACCGCTGGGGCTGGGCTTGCTCCGCAGGCCCCACAGGAAGTGGCGCAGGTAGAGAAGGTGCTGGTAGATGCTGTCGTCGGGGCAGTCTGCCTCCAGGTCCACCTGGAAGCCCTCGCTCGGCAAGACGATGGGCGGGGGGTTCTCGTAGGACTCCAGGACGTCCTCTGCAGGCAGGAGAGCGCCTGAGCCCCACCCGGGGCCCGTCCCTCCCGCACTGGGGAGCCGGGGACCAGCCCCAGCCAGGATGAAGAGTAGGCCCCTCCCTCTGGAGCTCTGGCTGGAACCCCAGGCTCTGCCTGTGCCCAGCAGCTCCCCCCAGAGGCTGAGCTGCTCAGCCCACAGGTCTGCAGCTCCTCCTGGCTCCCAGGCCCACGCTGCCCGCAACCCCCACGGCACCAGGGTCAGGACGGCCCGCGTGCACGGTGGGCTCTCCGTGAGCAGAAGCAGGGGGCCTGCACCCCGCACAGGCCTGGGCAGACCAGAAAGCGGGGGGCACATGCTGTCCGCAGAGCCTGCAGGCCTGCTCGGAGGTCTGCCCACGCCCAGCCCCTCCGCGAGGGGTGGGAGGACCATGTTCTAAGCCCTACTGCGCCCGTGTCCTCACCCCCTGTAACTGCCGTCTCTGTTCACGTTCGAACACACATAATGCTGACAAAGAGAGGTGCGTGTCTGACCTATAAAAACACACGCGCGTCCGGGTGTGTGTGAACACGGGCACGGAGCTCAGGAGCGCCCCCGTGGACGGCACAGTGGCGCCCGGCATGTGGCTCCCGCTCTTCCTGGTGGCTGTGCGCTGGGGGCAGCCCCACCCTCTGGCTCCATGAAGGGCAGGGAGTACCTTTGACCTGAGCCTGGAACTTACAACTTGGCCATGGACTGTGGGCTCCTTGTCCCCCAACTGCAGGTGTCCCCAGGAGGGGTGGGGCAGGGCAGGCGCCAGAGGAGGAGCCCAGGGCAGAGTCTGCGACACTCTGTGGGCTCCTCCAGAGACCCCCGGGAGTCTCCCCTGCCCCCAGCGTGGTCCTGCCCAAGGAGGGGCCTACCTGACTTGAAGGCATCAGGGTGGTCCTGGGGGCCAGGCTCCCAGGCACTCATGGGGCCCATGGCCGAGGCCAGCTGGTACTGAGTCAGGAGCCGGTGCAGCTGCGCAGGGCTCAGCGCAGGGAACTCGGCCCGCAGGTTTGCCCAGCTCATCTGAGTGACAAGAAGGTGCTCACAGTCAAGGCCCCGGACGGCACAGCCCACCCCAGGAAGGTCTGCCTGCTGGGTTCTCTGGGGGCAGAGGCAGAGGGCCAGACTCCCGGCTATACGTCCCAAGCCAGCACATAGGCCCTGGTGTCCACGCGGGACAGGCAGGTCAGTGAGGGGGCAACTGGGTGTGTTTTCTTCCTCTCCGAGCTCGTGGTTTCTCGTCCACTGTTGTGGCTCCGCGTGCCGGGCCTTTCCCTCCGCGGGTGCACGTCCAGTGTGGAGACAAGGGGCTAAGGGTGGGCGGTCCTGGTTTGTCTCGCTCCCTGGCCTCCATTTTCTTGGCTCTTGCTGGAGGCCAATGTTTGGACATTGGGCCTCATTCACTGGGCCTTTCATTTTTCTTCCTCACTTTGTTGCTCTTTTGCCTGGAGGTGGTTCGTGCTGACACTTGAGTCCTAGAATCCGTGCCCCTCACAGCTGTGGTCTCTCCAGGGCTGGGGGTGCTGAGAAGTCACCCAGCAGGGGCCAAGCACCCTCCGGTTTTATTGAGATATAATTATTACTATTAACTTTTGATGTATGATCTGAGTAATATCCCCTTCTTCATTTTTTATATTGACAATTTGAGTTTCCAGTTTTACTAAAGTTCTCAAAGAATCAACTCCTGGTCCTACTGCTTTTATTAAACATTTATTCAACTGTTCAAATAACTTTTCAAAGAACTGATTCTTGGCTTTTCACTTTTCTCTGTTACATACTTGCTATTTCATTGATTTCGGCTCTCCTCTATTACTTCCCTCTACTTGCTTTGGGTTTTACTTTTCTTTTTCATGCTTCATGAGCATTCCCTGTTTTCTATTCTATTCTTAAAACTATTATTTTGCCTATTAACACTGCTTTAACTGCACCCACGAGTTTGATATGTGCACCTTCATTTTCACTGACCACCCTGACCCAGTGGAGGTCAAACTACCACCAATTCCACTCTGCTTTCCAGAGTTTTTGTTTAGTCTTAAAGCCCTTCCCATCCCACACCCTGGAGCTTCAGAATTTTGTCAAGCGTCATGAGAGGAAAACCACCAAGCATTTTAGGCTCCTTGAGTATCTTACATTTGTCTCTGTAGCCTGTGAGATGCCCAGGACTGTTCTGGTCTCCCTTCCCCAGCTCTGGCCCCGCCTAGACGAAGCCTGGACTTTCGGTCTCATACAGACCCTGCTCCCACGTGAGGCACATGCCCCAGAGGACAAGCAGCAGCAGAACAGCTCTGTGCTTCTCCCTCGGTGGATCTGCTCCCCTCCGTCCCCACTGCTTCAGGAGCCCTCTGGTGCCTTTAGACAGAGGCCTGTGTGTTCTCAGCAGCAGATGGGCTCACCCAAGCTGCTGTCTCCACTGGGAGCCCACTGCTCTTCCTCCATCTCAGCCGTCTTCACTCAGCTTCCAAAGGCGCCTGGTGCCAACAAGCCCGTGCCATTCGGTGGCTCCACGGTAAACTGGGTTGCACCTTGGGAGTCCGTTTCCTCAGATCTGCCAGGGCAGTTCCTAACTCGCCCTCTGCTTTCCAGCTTCCAAATGTTGTTTTTGGTCTCCTCTATGTTTTCTTTGTCCTTATGGCTTAGGTCGTCGAAAAGCATTGCTTTGCTTTTGTTCTGTGATGTCGGGGAGGAGACAAACCACACGCCTATGTTCACGTGACCCACACCCAGACAGCCCCATTCTCGAAATTTTTTCAAGTGCATCCATGCCCCACTTTTATAATTTTAAAAAATCTACTAAAAAAAGACAACTGAGTAAGACATAGACCCTATCACGTGGTAGGTTCTCAGTGTCTGCTGAGTGACCAGTGGCTCCCAGACAGCCGTGGACTCTTGGCCCAGGACACAGTGGCTGTGTGACCGCAGCGTGGCCATTGTGAAGCAGAGGTCATGGCTGGCCGCCCGCAGGGCGCACTGAGTCTGGGGAGAGGCAGGTGCAGAGCTGCCCACGCTTCGCAGGCGCTTGGCCGGCACGAGCTGTGCCATCGCGACAGCAGCAATGACGGGTGCACGCGTGAGGTGTTCTAGGTCTTGCTCCTTGGGTGGAGGTGAATTGCTCCATGTTTTTTTTTTTTTTGATCCTCACCGGAGGATATGTTTCCATTTATCTCCAGGCAGAGTAGGAGGGAGAGAGAGAGAGAGAGAAACGCCGATGTGAGGGAGACACATTGACTGGCTGCCTCTCGCACGACCCCGACCAGGGACTGAACTGCAACCGAGGTACGTGCCCTTGACTGGAATAGAACCCGTGACTCATTGGTCCGTAGGCCAGTGCTCCAGCCGCTGAGCCAAACCGGCCAGGGCAGAGGATTGCTCCATCTTTTATACCAAACTGAAGTGTCCACTGTCCCCTCATGAATGTCGGCTCTGCTGGAGTCCGCTCGGGGCTTTGCCTGGGGCGGCCGAGTAGCCACGGTGCCGACTTGGTTCTAACCTTTCCCTCCCGGGCTGCCCTGTAGACACTCGCTGCCGTTCCCGGGCACACGCGGGTTCGTGCGGGCAGGCAGGGCGCTCCACTGGCTTCACTGACTATCTGTGACGACTGCCAGGCAGCTGGAGAGGCAGGAGGGTGAGGTGGTGAATTAGTTCCCTGCTGCTGCTGTAACAGAGACCACAGCACAGCAGTTGGAGCAGCAGAAACGCCCACTCTGACAGCTCTGGGGGTCCCACCGCTGACACCCAGGTGTCGGCGCGGCTGCGTTCCTTCTGCAGGCTCCGGGGCAGGCCGTGGGGGGCAGAGCTGCTCCTGCTCTCGGACCCTGCAGCCCTTGCCCACGGCCCCTCCTCCACCTCCAGAGCCAGCGGCAGCTGGTCGCGTCCGTTTTCCTTCTGTCCTGTCCCTGACCCTCTTCCACCTGAAGGGCTTGAGCTGAGCCCGTGCTAACCCGGAGCACGGTCCGCCTCAGGGTCCCTGTGTGCAGCCACCTCTGCGGAGCCCCGTGCCGCGCGGCCACAGTCGGCTGCAAGTCGGGGTCCAGACACGCTGGGCCACGTTCCTGCCCACAGGTGGGGCTGCGGAACGAACACAGTGCGGAAGGCTGGTGTCTCGAGTGACAGGACCCCTCCTACCTGGATGAGCTGGGCCCGGGGCGTGGCCAGCAGGTCCAGCGTGCAGGAAAGCTTCCGGAAGAAGCGCTCTCCGGCCTCCCCGAAGCCCACGCTCCTGGCCCACTCCAGGAGCTGCTGCAGGCGCGCACAGGCCTGGACGCCCCTGGGCCAGTGGAAGCAACTCAGAGACGGGCCTGCGGAGGGAGGGGGGGCAGGTGAGGCACTGCCCACCTTCCCCCAGCTGGTCCCCGGCCTGTCCTCCCCCCACTGCAGGCCTCAGGGGACAGATGTGAGACCTGGCGTCCGGCCTACGGCACTAACCTGCTTGTGGGCCCCTATCTGGGGGGGCAGGGGAGGTGGGGATGAAGATGGGAGGGAGGGGCTATGACAGCCCTGAGTCCCAAGTGCAAGGGGACACCTTGCCCCACCCCAGTCCTGCCCTCAGACCCCACCCAGCTGGGCAGTCCAGGACAGGGACACTGTGCTGGGGCTCATCCCTGCGTGCATGTCCCTGGGCCCTGCAGCAACCCCAGCCTCTGGGCAGGGTAACCCCACCCCCAGGGATCAGGACCCCAGACCAGGGCAGCGTCCTCGGAGCCGCTCGAGGGCTCCGCCCGCCACCTCCAGGGAGGCCACCGGTGTTTGCCCAGGAGAGGCCAGCCCGGTGCTCACCCCTGTCCAGGAGCTGGTTGAGGAGCAGAGTGCTGGAGAAGAAGAAGAGGTAGGCCAGCACCTGGGCGGCGATCTCGGGGTGCACCTGGGACTTCTGCAGGAGGTCCAGGGCCGTCTGGTAGACTGACACGACGCGACGCAGCTCCTCGGGCAGCTGGGCGGCCGGGCACCAGCTCTCCCGGGGCTCCGTCTGGAAAGGGGGGCATTCCAGCAGGGCCGGGAGGCAGATGTACAGGGACTGGGGGCGAGAGGAAGACACCAGCAGCGGTTGGCAGGGCCTGGGGCTCAGGCCTCGGGGGTTCTGCGTGTGGTGATCCACGGGCCTCCCACAAGGGCTGCCGGGGGTGGGGCTTCAGTACAAGCTCCTGTTAAAGGTGCAGGGGACAGAGGAGACCCAGCAAAGGGCCAGCAAACCCCCTGAGCATCTGGGGGGGTGGAGGGGAGAAGAGGAGAGGGGAGAGGGGCTGCCCCACGATGAGCTCAAAATCCTCGGGTGATGGTGAGAAAAGCGTGCGGCTCCCTCAGTCCCCGAGCCCCCCAGAGAGCCAGGAGGACGGGGCGCACCTTGGAGATGTAGTACACGCACTGCTGGAAGGCGTACAGGATGACCTCCTCCAGCTCCCCCATGGCCTCCTCGCTGGCTGTGAGCGTGCAGGAGAACAGGGACTCCTTGGAGCCTGCGGGGACAGGGCACAGGGTCACCGGACGTGCGCTGGGTCACTTCGCGCTCTCAGCTGGGCCTCCCGGAGCACAGACCCGGCCGCCCTGCTGCTGGACCAGCGGGAAACAGGTGGTGTGCGAGCGGCCTCTGCCCACTGTGGACGTGTGGCTGCCCGGCGCCGTCTGACCATTCCTGCACCTCTTCCAGCCCGGCTCCTGCCCCTCAGCCCACGGAGGGCTCACCCCCCGGGAACCACCAGGCCAGGAAGCCAGAGGCCTGCCTGACCGCCCCGAGGGGCCTCCCCAGAACCTGGCCTTTGGGGTCTCATTTGCGACCCTGAGGGGGTCTGGATGCTCCCTGCAGCCTCACTTGGCAGCATGAGGGGTCCCAGATCTGGGGAGCAAAAGGCTTTTAACAGGCCGAACACTCCGTTCTTCCAGAAGGCTCCAGGCCAGAGAAACACACAAGGCTGGCCCTGCTGCCGCCCAGACCACCCGAGCCAGGGGGACGTGGCCGAGAAACCCCGCCACAGTGGGGCGGGGCACTACCACAGGCCTGACCGCCACCTGCACGCCCCTGGGCCGGGGCTCTGGTGGGAGGAGACAGCAGAAGGGGCAGTGGGACCCCTCAGCACAGTGTGGCACCCTCGTTTAAACGCAGCTGCAAGACCGCAGCTGCCCTGTGGCGGGGTGCCTCCCTGAGCGCCCGTGGCCGCGGCCCCTCCCTGCATGCTGCTCCCGGCGCTCAGGACAGAGGCCACCCCTCTGGGCCTGAGGACTCCCCAGTCTACAGGTGCTGGGCAGAGTCTCCAAGACGTACAGGAAGCTTGCACATGGGTGACATGTCCCCCCGCAGTCCGGCTACCCTTTCGCCTGCCCACAGGAACGAGGTCTCCCGGGTAAGAGCTGCAGACAGACTGTTTGGGGCACGAAAGCGGCTACTCCAGCTCGCAGGACATGACGTCTCTGCTTTCAGACTCTTCCCACAGACGTTTCCTGCTGAAGGTCAGCAGGCTGAGCACGGCCCTGACCTTCCCTGGCCCTCTGTCCATGTCACTCTCCTCTGGGCTCCAGCGCCTGCACACGGGACAGTCTCTGGGCCACTGGTCCGCCGGGCCTTCCTGCCTGCCGGTGGGGCCCCAGGGCTGCACAGAGGCGGGACCCGGCCCAGCATCCACCAGGCTGCACGGCATCCGGATTCCCTGACCAAAAATAACTTCCTCCTAAGACCGGAGGCAGCAGCTGAGGGTGCTGGTCGCCCACGAGCAGCCCCCAGGAGCATCAGCCAGATGCAGGTCCCCGCACCGCAGCTCAGCCAGCCTGCGCCAGGCTGGCCCAGAGGGCCCGGAGCTGCAGCCTCTCGATGAGGCGGCTGTCTGGAGTCAGAGTCACCGGGGCTCCCGAGAGCGCCCCAGCTCCTGGCAGCGCACAGGACAGCACGCACTTGGAGACAGGCCAGAGGCCCAGGCCCCCTCAGGTCCCGCCGCAGCACCTGCGACATCGGCCCTGCAGCTGAGGCCTCCGGGGACACTGGCGGGGTCTGGAGCGGGAGGTGGTGAGAGGCCTCGCAGAGGACCGGGCAGGCCAGGCGGGGGGAGGGCGCCCTGGCCGTGCAGACGGGGGGTGCAGGTGAGCAGCGAGCCAGAAAACAGGTTGGCTTCGGGTGCAGGCCTCGTGGACAGAGGTCAGTGCCCTGTGTGGAAGGCCCAACCCTCTCTTGGCGCCTACCCGAGGGGAACAAGGGATGGAGGCGCCTGGCCAGTAAGCTCCTGTTGTTTCAGGTCCTTTCCTCCCGGAAGACACTGCTGAGCACACGCAGACGCTGCGCCGTGGCCAGCTGACCTGGCTCACGGGAGCCTCGGCCAAACCCCATCTTGCCTGCCGGGCTCCCCTCCCAGCCCCGAGTGCAGGGCCACCAGGCACATCTACCCAGGACCCCTGCAGGCAGGGTGCAGCCCAGGACAGGCCGGTCCACACACCGAAGGGAAGGACGTGAGCTTTGTTTTTGCCGTGGCAGAGCGAGAGGCTGTGTGGGCTGAACAGCTCAGCCACGTGAGGCTGTGCCCCCCTCCCCCCGCCCGGGGCTCTGTGCACATCCTGTCCCACTGCGGGTCGGTCCTGCTGCTGCTTCTTGGCTCCGTCCCAGGACCCACCAGGCCCCGCACAGTCCTCAGCAGATGCACTGCAGTGAAATCCCACGTGGCCTCAGGGCGCAGCCCAATGCCACCTCCCTCACGAAGCCCTCCTAGACTGCCCCGTCAGCCACTCTCTCTCAGCGTCAGCACTTTGCCCATGTCCTAGGATGTGCCCTGCCCCACACTTCAGTCTCTGACATCGAGACTACACAACCCTACAGCTCTCCCTGGCGAGCTGCCTTCTTTCTGAAGAGGTGGCATCTCAGGAGGGGTGACGGCTCAGAGCTGCTGCGAGGGAGTGACCTGTGCCCCCAGGCTTCCCAGGCAGAACACAGTGGACAGTCCATGAAACGGCAGGGACGGTGCCAACGCGCCACAGACAGGTCCCAGGTGAGCCCGATGGCCCGGGTCACTTGCGCTCAGGAAGCCCCCACATCCTGCCCTGTCCCGAGGCACGGCCGCCACACGGCCCGCCGGGAGCAGCGCGGGCCTCACCTGTGACGTCCGGCTCCTGCTCCAGGCTCCGCATGTACAGGGGGCCCTTCTGCTGGATGAAGTACAGGAGCTCGATGGCGTTGGCCATCCACAGCACGACGTGCTGCAGCTCGGGGAGCAGGCTGGCCAGGCAGGAGCTGGTGGAGGGCAGGGGCTCCTGGCTGCCAAGAGAGACACACAGTTATGCCACCGCTCCTCACGGGGTGCCCTTTCAGTGGGGCGCTCCCGAGAACTACGACTCGTCAACGACCAGGGTGAGGCTGCGATGAGAGGGAGACGCACGACCTGACAGCGACAGCCGGCACATGCCCACCTCGGCGGGCACGGCCCCGGGAAGGACTCTGGGAAGCCAGCCACTCCCACCTGTGAGTGTGCAGTGAGTGTGCAGTGTGCGTGCAGTGAGTGTGCAGTGTGTGCAGTGTGCGTGCAGTGAGTGTGCAGTGTGTGCAGTGTGCGTGCAGTGAGTGTGCAGTGTGCGTGCAGTGAGTGTGCAGTGTACGTGCAGCGAGTGTGCAGTGTGTGTGCAGTGTGCGTGCGTGTGCACGGGGAGGGGCCGTGCTGGGAGCAGGGTCTCTGGTCGCACAGTGACAGGGGGTCCTGGAAAATGAGGCCGAGGACGTGGGGGGGGGGCTGGGCAGCAGGGGGCCGAGGGTCTCCGGCTCCCTTCCCCTCACTCTCCTCGTGCGGCAGTCTCCTGCTTCTGACGTAACTCCACTCCTGTCCACGTGGGACCTCTCTGTGCTCTCCGGGGAGGGAGGACTGGCTCCGGCCCACGCCCCCTGGTTCTCACTGCTGGGTAGGTGGCAGCCACGTGGCCGCCTGCCCATCCTGCAGAGGTCCGAGTCCTGCCTCTCCGTGGCCCTTCTCCATCTGGTCCATGGGACACATGTGCTCACAGGCATGGAGAGTTGTGTCATTAAAACGGGACTAACCTGGCTCGTCAGGGTCGAATTCCATTTTGTTTTCAACATTATTGCTCTTCTCAATTTCACCCAGAACTCAAGGGCAAGACAGGCCCCTACGGAACACCAGCCCTCCCGGTGTGGCCGGCAAGGTCAGCGTCAAGGACACACCACTGGCAGCCCGGCCACACACTGTGGGCACAGACCAGCGCGGCACCGAGTGGGGACAGTGATTTCATGGGTATGACACCAACGGCAACAAAAGCAAAAGTGGACCAGTGGGCTCAGTGAACTGAGTGCTGCTCAGGGAAGGGGACAGTCCGCAGAGGAAGGCAGCCCGCGGGATGGGAGGACGTCTGTGCAGCCAGGTGTCAGAGGAGGGGCAGTTCCAGAACTACCAAGGAACTCCTACAACTCAAAGCAAAGAAATGAATAATCCAGTTGATATGGGCAGAGAGTCCCACTGGACACGTCTCCCTAGAGGACAGACAGACGGCCGACAGGGACGTGAAAAGGTGCTCAGTGTGCCAGTCATCAGGGAAATGCAAACCAGAACCACAACGAGACACCGCCTGGCACCTGTCGGAAGGCTGCCGTCAGAAAGACAAGAAACAACAAGTGTTGCGAGGACGCAGAGAAAAGGGGCCCCGTGCACTGTTGGGGGGCGGAAGTCGTGCAGCCAATGTGGAAACAGTATGTGCCTCAAAAATTAAAACCAGAACCACCTTATACCCCAGGAGCCCACGCCGGGTGTTTACCCAGAAATGAATCAGGGTCTCGAAGACAGGTGAGCACCCAGCGCCCACCGCGGCACTAGGCACACGCCGTCGCCAGGCGAAGAGAACCAGAGACGACGGGATACTGCTCGGCCCACAGGGAAGGAAACCGCGCGTCCAGCCCAGGCGTGAACGCTCAGCGCGGGTGCTCAGCGCGGGGACCAGTTCCAGAGGGACCCGTGCTGCCCGCCCCCAGCCAGTCCTGGACTCACACGGCAGAGCGGTGGTGGTTCCGGGCTGGGCGGGGGCGGGGAGAGGCGAGCCGTCTCGGCCACACAGGCCAGTGAGTCCCAGGACCTGCCTCACACTGTGCCCGGCCAGCGCCCGCCCTGGGCACCAGGCATCTGTCCAGGGCTCCTACTACAATAACATAAACCGATCGACCCAGTGCTTCCACACAGAGACATTAAATCCATTTAGGAAGCATACAGAAGAGAAATTACTCCTAAAAACAAAATCAAATGCATTTTTGCTAATGAAAATTTTAAAATTCAAAAATACTGAAAACAATTCATGGCTCAAAAAAGAAATTACAATCCAAACTGGATGAGAATAAGAACAAAGAGGTTACCGAAATGGAAAGCAAAGAAAAAGTAAACAGAAACAACACTGGTTTTTTTAAACAAAAAATAACAGAAATGCGTGGAAAGATCGATCAAAGGAGGGAGAGACTCTGAACAACAGAATCCAGTGGAGGGATATTACCACAGATGCATTAGAGATGAAAAAGTCATGAGCATACAATGGACAATTTAGTTCCAATAACTCTGAAAAACATATATAGTAGATAATTCCCAAGAAAGTAAAAATTACCAAAATCAACACAAGAAGAGACAGAAAACTAATGAACTGCCAACCATCAGAGAAACGGAATCGCAGACCAGGCCCCGGTCCCCCAAGCAGCGCCACCTCGGGCCCAGGGCCTCACCGCGGGGCCTGACTCCGAGACCGGGAGCCGTCGGGCTGCCCAGCTCGTTCTCCCTGAGGCTGGCCATTAAAATCAGACGAGACAAACAAAATTAATTCATAGACCAGTTCCCCATGAATTCAGAAGGGGAAATCCTAGTTAAAATGTCAACCTGCCCTGGCCGGTTTGGCTCAGTGGTTAGAGCATCGGCCCACGGACCAGAGAGTCACGGGTTCAATTCCAGTCAAGGGCACGTACCTCGGTTGCGGTTTGTCCCCAGCCCTCGTTGAGGTCGTGCAGGAGGCGACCAGTCGATGTGTCCCTCTCACGTCGATGTTTCTCTCTCTTCCTCTCTTCCTCCCTCCCACTCTGAGGATAGATGGAAAAATATCCTCGGGTGAGAGTTAAAAAAAAAAAAGTCAACCAACCATGCCCTGGCCTGTTTGGCTCACTGGTTAAAGCATCAGCCTACGGATCAAAGAGTCTTGGGTTCAATTCCTGGTCAGGCAAGTACCTGGGTTGCGGGTTCAATCCCTGGCCCTGGTGGGGGTCACGCAGGAAGCAACCAATCAAGGTGTCTCTCACATCGAGGTTTCTCTCTCTCTTCCCCTTCCTCTCTTCCACTCTATCTAAAAATCAATGGAAAAGTATCCTCAGGTGAGAATTTTAAAAAATGCCAACCAACCATATCTTGCCATGCTAAATGCAGCCATGAGGGTCTCACCCCTGGGGGTCAGCCGCACCCACAGTCCCAGACGCAGGGAAACGTGCTGATCACAGACGCAGAAAAAGACGAAGTGAAAGCCGTTCACCGTTTGGCAAGTTCAGGACACAAAGACCTGAAGCAAACGGGGCAGACGCCCTGACGTCGGACGTCGGACGCGGGGCGGCTCAGGGGTGACAGGCGCACTCTGGGGACGGACACAGGCCCTAGCGATAGGGTTCTGGGAAACAGTGACCGTGAGCTGAAGGAGGGCTGGGCCCCTGCTGTCCCAGTGGCACCCCCAGCTAAAGGCGCTAGGATGGGAGGATGCACGGGGTGTGGGCTCAGGGAGGGGTGCTCTGTGAACCAGCCCCTCCCCTGCAGGTCCCCTCAACCTGAGCACGCTCCCCTCCACAGAAGGCCTCGCCACGCCGGCCTCAGGAGCGGGCACTCCCTCCACACCGCACGCCGTCCTCGCCGGGGCCACTGCCACCCTGGGCCGGCCTGGCGGCACTGAGCCCCGCAGCTGGCAGAGCCACCGGCGCTGAGGAAGAATTCTGCGCCAGCTGCAGCCGGGCAGGGCACTGGGTGGCTCCACGGCTTCCGAGCTCGGTGCCCTTGGTGTGGGTCTTTGGTCTTCCTCCTGCCTCCCTCCCGGACGAGGAGGACGCAGAAGCGAGCCCCGTGGTGACCACGTGCTCACGCACGGACCGAGGAGGGGCCCAGGGCCCGCAAGCCCGTCCCTCACGGCGGCAGAAACTGCCAGCTGCAGCCTGGCCCTCCCCAGGGTGTTCCCACAGACACGCGCCCCAGCGGGCAGCTCGCTGGGCACCGGCCGGCCCGCTGTGCGTAACCACACGGTGGGCACTTTCCGGGGGGCTTTTCCCAGCGCTGCCGTTTCGGGCCCCTGCACGCGTGGAGCCTGCGCTGTGGTTCACCCGCTCCCACCGTCCCCGAGTGCCTGAGTCTGCCATGGGCCCGTGGTGGCCTCCAGCTTTCCCTCCGTGTGGAGGTGCGTCCCCAGTGTCCCCGGAAGATGGGGACTGCGGGTCACAGGACACACGTCTGGTCCGGGCCGCAGTCTCCCAGCCCCAGGGTGTGAGAGCAGACAGCGCTCGGGAAGACAGCGGGCGGCCGCACTCGCCCCGGGGGTCAGGTCTCTGCTAGGAGCAGTGAGGGCTGGCGAGGGGAGGGTCCAGCCCGTTCGCTCCGTGGACATCGCTCAGGGAACCTCCCAGACCAACACGGCGCTTCCCAGGGTGGTGATTACAGAAGTAAAAATGGCCCCTGGGGTCGGGAGCCGGGTGCAGGGAGCACAGTGCTGACCCGAGGCTGGGCCAGGGAGCTGGCTCCCCAGGGAGGGCGGGACAGCGACGGAGATACTCACAGGTGCGCCTGCTTCTCCGCCAGCTCTTTGGTTTTCTCCTACAATTGTAAAGGACAGAGAGCGAGCATGAGAAAACCAGGAAGCCACGGGGCACGGTCAGCGAGAACGTGGGCTCGTGCGTGGCACCGGCGGCGTGGGGACGGCTCTGCGCTCCAGGCCGCTGCGCTCTGGGCCGTCCCTCCCCGCCCCGCCGCACCGCTGCCCACTGGAGTCCACACCCCACCCCTCACTGAGTGCGACCTGCATGCAGGCTCCCACCACTGCCGTCCGTCCGGCTCGCGTAGCCCTGGGGTCTCAGAGACAGCCAGCGGCCCAGCGCTCCGCAGCGCCAGAGCAAAGGCTCTCCTGACACTCGTGGACATGTCAGCCACGGGGAGAACACGCCCACGACCACAAGCCGGAGCGCTTGCAGGTGATCCGCACACCCCACCGCGGCTCGGGTCTAAGCAGCGTTTCTGGGAGGTGCGTGCAGTGGGCGGGACCCGGGACACTCAGCATCTTCCGGTGCTCAGGGGCCTCAGTCCAGGGACCCGGCTCTGCAGGGAGGTTTGCAGCATGCAGATTTGGTCGAGCTGACAGGCCTGCAGTGGGCGCTGGCAGAGCTCAACCTGCCCCTGGCAGAAGGCTCGGGCACCAGGCCAAGTGCAGGCTCAGGGCTCCAGGCCCTGCTCCCAGGCCCGCGACGGGCTGGGCTGGGCCGTGGGGGACACAGGACCAAAGCTCATGAAGCCGCTGCCAACCCCCAGGGCAGAGCACCAGAGCGGTGCCCTGGGCTGGAGGTGTGGACAGGCAGGGGAGCTGCCCTTGGCCAGAGGAGGGAGTCAGGACTTCCTGCTGCGGCCGGCCGCCCGAGACTGACCCAGACTGCCTCCCGGACCGCCGCGGCGATGCTGAGCAGGAGCGGCCCGAAGGAGCCGGGCTGGAGGCGCGTGGCCGAGTGCTGGATGCAGAGGCAGAGCAGGAAGGCGGGGGCCAGCTTGTGGTCATCGCCGCCGGGCTCCACCAGCGTCATGATGCGCTGCACCAGCATGTCCTCCACGCCGGGCTCGAACTCCAGGTGCAGCCGCCGTGGCCGGGAGGTGCCCGAGGCCCGGAGCTGGGCGCCGCACATCCTGCAGCTGTGAGGCAGGGCCCGGAGGCGAGCCAGAGCCTGGGCGGGCAGGGGCTGGGCCTGCGCCGGCTCCTTGAACAGCAGCAGGTAATAGAGGCCCAGGGACAGCAGGTCCCCATGGCGCAGCACCACCGTCCGGCCCCCCACCTCCGAGAAGTTGACAGCGATGGGCGCCCCAGGGATGGGCTCCAGGACCAGCAGGTCCCCCGCCTGCTCTGGGTCCGAGGGGTGGTGCCGGCGGAGGGTGCAGTGCAGGGGCAGGATGTCGGGGGCCGAGAGGCTGATGCTGGGCTTGCTGGAGGGGGTCCTCTGGCCCACCGTGTGCCGCTCCCGGTTCAGCACGTAGACCAGGCTGTCCTGGAAGACAAACACCGGTCCTCAGGGCAGGGCACCGTCCTGGCCGGCGGGCGTCCCTGTCCATGGTACCCAAGTACCCTGGGCCTGCTCTCCCTGGCTCTCCTTGTCCTGGGACACCCCTCTCCTAGCTGGCTGCTGGCTCCCAGCCGGCCCCACGTGGGGTGCTCACCCTGTCCCAGGGAGTTCTCCCAGAGCACCCTCCATGGCACGCCAGAAACCCGGGGAGGACCCACATGAGAGCAAGGGGCTGGCAGGGCCGAGCTGGATGCTGACTCGCTACAGAGCCAAGCTCCCCAGGGCCTGTGAGCAGCAGGTGGGGAGGTGCCTCCTAGGACCTCAGTGCCAGGGGCCCCAAAGCCACCGTGTGCACTGAAGCTGGAGGAGGGAGGGCGCTCGGCGAGGACAGGGGGTGCGAGATGGCGGGGGACAGTGGGTATCTGCGGAGCAGCCACAGGGCGCAGCTGCCAAGGACCACAGCCTGCCAGCCATGGCGGCTCCGAAAACCTGGTGAGAAACACCAGCCCTGGGGCGGGGCTGCTCTGTGCCCCTCGGGGGCAGCCCAGCAGCACGTGGAGGCTGCACGAGCCTGTGCCAGGCATCACCGTCGCCTGGAGAAGACGGCAGCCCTGTGCCCTGGTCGCCTGGCCTGTCCCCAGCGCCGGGCAGGAAGGGCCTGCGATACCGCGTGGAGGGTGGTGGGAATCCCGTGAAGGGTGCCTGGCACTGCACTGGGGTCGGTAGTGAGGAGCTGGTGATCCTCCTCGAAGGGCCCTCTCCTGTGGCCTGGACAGAGTGCTCTGGAAGCCGAGGATGGGGGGGCCCTTCGCAGAGTCCAGGACAGGCCACGTGGTGGCCCCACCCCCATTTCCACAGCCCGTCGCCACTGGAGCTGCAGGAGCTCACAGGTGACTTAGGTCACGGGAGAGGCCGGGACTCTGCTCAGATCCAGGGGGGGTGGCTCACATGCTGCTGGCTGTAGCCCTGCAGAAGGAGCAGGTGGGGCGACTCGTAGAGGGAGTAGCGCATGGCGTCCTGGCTGGGCTCCTGGGCAGCAGCGGGACTCAGGCTGGTCTCACTGGCTGAGCGGCGTAGCGGGGGTGGAGGGGGGCTCCGGGCGCCCCCCGAGGCCAGGGCTGGGGTCCCCTTGGCGCGACTCCGCTGCAGCCTCCGGGCTTGGGCGTTTATCCCTGAAACAGAAGCCACGCGGGGTGAACAGCCCAGCCTGTGGAGGTCTCCGGCCAGCCCTTCTGAATCCGGGTCTCGCGAACCAGTCCCCAGCCCTGGTCTTGGTGCTGCAAGCCTGTCTGGGGAGACTGCAGGGCTCCGCCCACTGACCTCGTTCTCACCAGGTGGGCATCTCCAACCCCCGCCCCCAGAGCCAGGCCGCCCAGCTCTTCCATCCTGAGGGCCAGCAGGAGCCCCACGGCACACCCAGCCAGCCCAGGGCATCCCCTCAGGACAGCGAACCCACCGCATCAGCTGCCGCGGAGCCCCAAAGCCCTGCCACCCACCTGTCCCATCCGGCCAGCCCACCGTGCGTGTGTGCGTGGGCGCGTGCGTGCGCCATGCGTGCTGTGACCGATGAGATGGGGACTGGTCGCTTTGCAAGGAGGAAGCGGTGAACCAGCCCACGTCACCGCCCTGAGCCAGCTGGTCTAGCACAGCTTGGCTGCTCCTTCCCGAGGCCGTGCCCACACCGTCCGGTCAGAAAGCACACGTACATGTACACACACACCAGGTCAGAGCGCACAGGCACATGCACACACAAGCCCATGCATGCCCACACACACAAACAGCCCACGGAAGACTGTCCTATCCAGCCAGGACGCGCCTTTTTGCACCTAATGCTCCAGAAAGCTGAGAAGCCGCCTGAGTCTCCCCCCCCTGCCCCCTGCTGACCCCAGCGCCTTCTCCCGGGCCCCGTCTCCCTCCCCATCTGCAGCATCCCTCCCACAAACACTCCAAATGAAACCAACGCCAGAGGACGTGTGCAGGGCGGGCTGGGGCCGCGGGGGCTGCCTTACCGGAGCTGGCGCCCAGCAGCGTGCGATCGACCTGCCCTCCGGAAGGCAGCCTGCTGTCTGCAGCCCACTGGGGCCGGGCCGCAGCGCATGCCTGTCAGTGGCGCAGCTGCTGCAGAGCCAGCCAGCAACCAGCAGGAGGGGTGGGGGATCCGGTCAGAGCAGGTGGGGGCAGGATGGCAGAGAGAAGGAAGGGGGGCGGGGCAGGCCCGTCCCACGGCCACTCTGAGAGTGGCAGACCCCAGGGCTTCTGGATCATTGCACAAACATGGGCCACACCTGAGGAAGAGCGATTTAAAGACCAGTCCAAAATGATGTTCTAACACCCCGGCGTTCCCTCCATCTGGGACGGGGTTGCAAGGCTGGGCCTCAGACCGCCTTCTGGAAGTCCTGGGGCGCCCCGGCAGCCACACTGCCCGAGAAGGTCCCCTTTCCTCCTAGATTCCCAGGGGCTCCCAGAGGCCAGTGTCCCCTGGGGCTGCAGCCGCTGAACCCCACTGCAGCTGGAGTCCCGCACCCCGTGGGAGACGACCCCTCCCAGGGCCCAAGGCCAGGTTCTCTGACCCCGCTGTCTGAAGCAGGGGTTCTCACCCTGCCTGTGCTCAGAACCACCTGGGGAGTTTCAAATGCCCGCCTTGGTGCGGCTGCCTGGTCTCCACCGGTCCTGGGGTGGCGCACCGGCGTGAAGGGCAGGGCTCAGGAGCTGTAATAGGATGTCCTGTATATCTAACTTATTTATACCAGGTGTCACTCGCTTTATTTTTATTTTATTTATTTATTTTTATCCTCACCCGAGGACATTTTTCCTTTTTTTTTTTTTTGTTCAGGTAGAGTGGGAGGGAGAGAGAGGAACAGAGAGAGAGAAACATCGACGTGAAGGGACACATCGAGTGGCTGCCACCCGCACAACCGACCAGGGCCGGGGACAAACTGCAACTGAGGTACATGCCCTTAGCGGAAACCGAACCCGGGTCTCTCTGGACCGCAGGCCGACGCTCTAACCGCTGAGCCAAACTGGCCAGGGCTGATATTCGAGTTTTTAAAAATAAAGTGAGCCCTGGCCGGGCGTCAGCCTGCAGTCCAGAGAGACCCGGGTTCGATGTTTCTCTCTCTCTCTCTGTTCCTCTCTCTCCCTCCCACTCTACCTGAACAAAAAAAAAAAAAAGGAAAAATGTCCTCGGGTGAGGATAAAAAAAAAAAAAACAACAACTCGAATATCAAAAACGTGTATGCCACCTCTGGCAGGTGGGTGCCCAGGGGTCGGTTACATTATTCTCTGCACTTCATGTCAAGGAATTAGAGATGGTCACTGGTCGGACGGCTCCTGACTGCTTCCGACAGGGAGCCGGGACTGAGCCCCGACTGCGGACGGTGTGAGATGGGCCCAGGGGCCTCGCTGCCGGCTCCCCGGGTGCGGCTGGAGAAAGGCGCTCCGTGCACCCCTCCCCCAGCTCTGCTCGCTCGCTGCCCAGAATCGAACCTGCTCGCCCCAGGCTCCTTTTCCACCGGATCAGACCCTCCTGGAAGAGGTGAGGGTAGCACCCAGGGAGACAGGGCTCGTTTTTGGTTTTTTTATTCCTCGCCAGAGGATATTTTTCTACTTACTATCAAGTAGAGTGGGAGGGAGAAAAAGAGAGAGGGAGGCAGAGAGAAACATCAACGTGATAGAGCCACATCGACTGGCTGCCTCCCATAGGACCAGGGCCGGGGATGAGCCACAACCAAGGTGTGTGCCCTTGACTGGAATTGAACCCGCGACTCATTGGTCCTCCGACCAACACTCTAACCGCGGAGCAGGGAGAGGCCGGCACAGGATGGGGATGCACAGCGTTCAGCCCGCGACCCCTGGGAGCAAGCGAGCGATGAGGTCGCCCTCCCCGGGCAGGTCGGCCGAGGCCTTCGCTGCCAGGCGCACGCTGCCCGGGTACGGCGATGGGCACGCTCAGGAACTGCTGGTGGGAATACGAACTGGCCGTGGCCCTCCCAAAGGTTAAAAATAGCTGTCAGGCCCGGCCCGTGCGGCTCAGTGGATCGAGTATTGCCCCATGGACTGAGAGGTCCCGGTTCGATTCCCGGTCAGGGCACATGCCCAGGTTGCAGGCTGGATCCCCAGTAAGAGAAGTGCAGGAGGCAGCCAATCGATGTTTCTCTCTCACGTCGATGTTTCTTTCTATCTCTCCCTTCCTCTCTCTCTAATAAATAAATAAATAAAATCATATTAAAAAATAGTTATCAGGATACTGCCAAGTATATCAATATTAAGATATAAATATATCTATATCTACAACTGTCTCTATCTTTCCACAAAGGAATTCGATCTGCAGAAATAATCAGCAAGGAATCAAATGTTTCAGTATGAGAATGTGTGTATGAAAAGCGTTATTTATACACAGGGAAAAAGGAGACATGGTCTACAAAGCCCACAGGGAAATGGTTAGGCACACGCACTGCCAGCATTACGGATGGCGTTCACAGTGCAAGGAAATAAGTGTAGTAAGTAAAGACCAGAGGACGTGTAACTGTGCACACGGTGGCCTAAATGACGTACGGAAGTAAGCGTAGTAGGTAAAGACCAGAGGATGTATAACTCCACACAGGTGGCCTAAATGACGTACGGAAGTAAGTGCTGAGAAAGGCTGCAGCCGGAGGCACCAGATCGCTGGGAGCGGTCCTCTCCAGGAGACTTACTCTCTGGCTTCTACTTTCCTTTACTTTCCAATTTTTCAACAATGCACTTGTCTAACTATTTCACGTGGGGAAATCACATTTTAAAGGACTGAGGAGCCTGTTTCCATGGTAAAACTTGGAGCCTCTCACACTGAAGCCTTAATCAGGGAATAGCATCCCCTCTCTAGAAGGAACTAATGACCTAATTAGGATAATGGGTAACTGAGGAGATCAAGTGCTCACGCCATTTGTTAGTGGCGGAGGAGACGGAGGCCTCCTCAGCCGTGCGGGTGGCACTGCAGTTGTCCAGCTGAAACCGGAGGCCGTGCGGATCCGAGACGACGCAGCCCTTCCTTGGAGGATCCTGGGGGCAGCTCGCAGGCTGGGCGCTGCCTCCTGCAAAGGCCGCCGAGCCCTGGCAGGGCCTGCTTCCCTCCACGCCAGCAGGTGCCCTGGCCCAGCCGGTCAGCCCGCGCCTCGGCCCAGAGCCGGCAGTGCCGCCTTCCTTACAGTGTCTCGCCCCAGAGACTGCCCACTGTTCTGAAATGAGGCCCCACGCCCATTTCAGGTTGGAAGAGAGAGCTGAGGAGACAGCCTGGAAAGCAGAGCGGAAAGACAAAGAAGAGAAAGCAGGCGAGAAAAAGTCAGAAAAGCTCGTGTGCGTGCGTCCAGGAGACCCAGCCCTGAGGGACAGGAAGCCAGGAGAGGCCACCGGAGGAATGACATCGTCCTGGGAACTGGACGGCAGGAGGCCTGGCTCAAAACAGCCCATGAAATGTTAAACATGCACAGAGGGTGAAAGTATGCAAATAGATGTACTTTAATGACCTTCACAAAACAATTATGGAAGATATAAATATAACAATGGGTACAACCGTAATTGTTTTTAAAATAAAGAAGTAAAAGCCTAACACTAGGGTAAAAACACACCAAGACAAACTGGATTTTCAGACTGAGGCCGGGAGGTGGCAGGGAAGGAAACCCACATGTCCCCAGGGGAGGTGGACAGTCAGAATGAGCTACAAATTCTTACAGGGGCTGGAGGTTGGAAGAATGGACTCAGCCTTCAAAATTCTAGGAAAGAAAATTCTTTTCATTCTAAAACTCTATACTCAGCTAAACTATTAAGCAAGCATTAGAGCCGAATACAGATCTTTTTCTTTTATTATTATTTTTAATCCTCACCCGAGGATATGCTTACTGATTTTTAGGGAGAGAGAAAGAGAGAGAGAGAGAACATCGATCAGTTGCCTTCTGCACATGCCCCGACAGGAATTAAACCCACAACCTTTCTGTATACAGGACAACACTCCAACCAACTGAGCTGCACTGGCCAGTTTTTAGGCGTGCACGGTTTTATGCAGTTTTAACTCCGATGTACACTTTCTCAGGAAGCCACTGGAGACACTCCACCCAAATGAGGGCAGCAGGCAGAAGGCTCCAGAACACTGGACTTGAGAAGACATCATCCATCCGCCCATCTGAGCATCATGAAAACA